AAAGGGCATGGGGCTACTACTGGGGCCCAGGGCCACCACAGTGGGGATGAGGAGGCCAGCTTGTAACCACAGGGGTTCCCACGTTCCCTCTTCCAGCAGCCACCAGAGAAGCCAGGTCAGGCTACCATCACAGGCCTGCTGAGTCCCGCCGGGGTTCTAGGTGGGACTTTAAAAAGCAGAGACCGTGATGCTAAAAGCACAGGGAGCTTGCTAAGGGCAGGCGAAATGCTATGTCTACAGGACACCCGTGAGAGCTGCAGCTCACCTTGTCCTCCAGCTCTGCTTCCGCTCCTCCTCTGTCCCTGTCGCTGCCATAGGCAACCCCTGAGAAGCCTGGTATGTTCAGAACTGTGCAGACTTCCTGACTGGAGGGAAGGCAGGACCCTGCACACTCACTGGCCATTCCTATCAAGTCTCCATTAAGCCACTGGGAACCTGCAGCGTGACCTCGCCCCCCAGTACTCTCCACCCTCTCCAGGGGGCCCTCGGTGGGCCCTGCCTCTGCCTGATTCACCCTCCTTGGGTCCCACTTGGGTCACCCAGGCTTAGGAACGAGGACCCTGCACCCCTGAGTGACGTCTTGCCTGTCACAGCACACATGTTTGAGGAGTAGCTGTGTCTGGAGTTGACTCACCGCTCCCACTTCCTCCCCTGCTTCAGTGGCCGTGAACTTCCCCAGGGCCCTCCTTCGCTCCCCAGAGTGGGTGGAATATTATCCTGCCTCACCTCCTGCAGATCGTCCCCACCCAGCAGAGAGGCCACTGCGACTGAGGGGGCCTGCTGGACTTCCTCTCTAGGCCTTTTATTTTTAGCAGCTTCATTGAGATAGAAGTCCTACTGAGACTGTATTTATGGAGATTACAGCTACCACCACAATCAATTTTAGAAATTTTTTCATCATCCCCAAAAGAATCCTGTACCCAATAGTGGTCACTCCCCAACTCCCCGACCCCTGGGCCTAGGCAGCCTCTGATCTACCGTGTCTCTGGTTTGCTTTTTTTTTTTTTTTTAATATTTATTTATTTTTTAGTTATTTGTGGACACAACATCTTTGTTTGTATGTGGTGCTGGAGGATCGAACCTGGGCCGCACACATGCCAGGCGAGCGCGCTACTGCTTGAGCCACATCCCCAGCCCCTCTGGTTTGCTTTTAAACACACACCTGTGTTCACCTTCTCAGTCATAGTGCTGGCCATTTGCTCTGGTCCCCAACCCTGACCCCATCTCCTTCTGTAGTGATGTTAGTTTTCTGCTGAGTCCTCAGCATCTCTTACCTAGGGACCCACACACTCCTGGCCTGGCTTCAGGCTGCCACCTCCTGGGGCCACCTACCTGCTTGTCCCGTGCATTCCTCTTGGAGACTGACAATATACTAGCATTTAAAAGGTTCTGAGAATTCCTGGAGGGAAACAAGTGTTTTCCTACTGATTTCTAAAATTGGTCACGTGACATTATGTTCAATAACATTTGTGGTTAATTTCTAATTCTGTTGGAATAGCTTGAGAAACAGAGGGTAAATTCTTACAAGTGGAATTTATTAGGACAAAGCATATGAATGTTTGTAAGACTCAAAGACTGCACGGAATTCTTGGTGACCATCCTAGGAAACTCTTTCACTGAGATCTAGAAAGGGATAGGGCTGCAGGGGCCAGGGACTGAGGGAAGTGAGGAAATGCTTTCTCTGTAAAGGAGTGGGGGAGGGACGGTGGTGGCAGGCGGAGGACAGGTGGGCCTCACTGCCAATGGGCCCCTCTGCCTATTTGCAGCTCTTGGCTGGGGATGCCATTCTGCAGGTCCCAGGCAAGAGACACAGCATTGCCCAACGAGTGGGAATGAGCAGAGACCCCAGAGTAGCCATGGATGAACCCTAATCCACCCAGACCCCTTCTCTGTCTCTCCTGTGACAAGAGCTACATCTGCAGCAGGTGCCAAGAAGCAGAGAAGGGCCGATGTAGCAGCCCAGATTGAGCCCATGACCTGCAAGTCCGGTCTCTGCTCTGACCAGGTGAGGCTGGAGCCTCCGGGGTCCTCTGTTGCAATGATCTATGTGTCTGGCTCCTGCCTCTCCAGGAGCGCCCCAAGCCCGCTGAAGGTAGGGCTTGTCACATCCTCTTCCCTCGTTCCCAATGGCACTTTGTACAGAGTTGAATCCCCAGGTCCGTGCTCCCAGGCTGTGCCCTGGCTGAGGCTGCCACTCGCTTGGAGACCCCACAGGGTGACACAGTTGCAGTGCAGCTGTGTCAGGTGTTGGGTAGAGTAGACAGAGTGAGTCCCCTGACTCCAATGAGCCCCACAATCGGGGCACACAATCTGAAAAGAAAGTTGTAAAGTTGTATATTTTTATGACAAGGTCAAATTTTAAAAAAGATAGTGTAGCTGCTTCTCCTGTCATTAAAAACAAGATCCTAAGTACTAACAGGAGGCCTCGTGGAATTGTAAGGATCATTGTTAAATTTTGTAACAGAATTTTCGAGTCAGTATTAATCAGTTCCTTGCTCCTAAGTGAGGCTGTAACTTACTGTGGGCGGCAGGGACGTACCAAAGGTCATGAGCCTGGTCCCCCTCCCATGGCAGGTGGTCAGGACTCAGGCAGGGACACTGACCTGTAGTGCCACGACCAGAGCCCCAAAGATCTCAGTGTATTTATGGGTGAACTCCCTTACTTACTTCCAAAAGGAGTTTAGGATTGTGACAAGGCTTCTGTCAGAAACCACAGCATCCCTCCAGGTAGCTGGCAGACTCACCTGCTGGGGAGGTGGAGATGGGGAGCCGCCTGACTGAAACCTGTGGGAACACCTGTAACCACCCCCTCAGCGACTCTTTGGCCCGGAGTCCTTCCTGGTGGCACATTCCTGGAAGTTCAAGGTGACACGTAGTATGGATGGGGGCTGGCTGCAGCAGTGTGTTCCCCGTGTCCCGCTTCTCACCTCACATGTTGACACTACTGCTCTGACTTACGGGGGGTGGCCACCCCGCCATTTTAGAAGGTTTTACGTTTGAATCACCACCAGTCAGAATGTTCTAGTGATCCACAGCTCCACAGTGTATTATGTCAGGAAGCTCGTTCTCTCTGGGGTCAGCATCTCCCCAGTAGTCCTGGGCCGGCGATGTCAGAACTACGTGGAGAACTTAGTGAACTTGAGATCCCTGGGCCTCTTCCTGGCCCTCTGGACTGGGATCTCCAAAAGGGGACCTGGGACTTGGTTTTTCAAAAGTTCCCCAGGGAATTCCTCTGTATATGAAATTCTGAGAAATGCTGAGAAAGTCATCAGAAGAATGTTTTCTAGAAGCTTCCTAAGGATGCCCCACATATCAGCCCACAGTCTCTCTGAATCCTCAGGCACCCAAGGTCCACTAAAGGTTTCCTGGGGTTCCCCTCAGATACCCGTCCAGCAAACCAGCTCCCACTTCCTCCTTAGACAAGGGACAACTGTACCCAATTGTTCCCACTGTGGTTCCAGGGTTGCCTGTGCCTCCTACACACGAGAGCCCAAGCTTCTGCTGGACACTTTTTCTTTGGCCTCAGGTGATATGCATCAGTCCCTTAGACAAATACTGCAGGGACTGAGCAGATCCTGAGAGGAGTGCCGTGTGCAGAGGGCGGGCGCATGTCACCAGGGGATTCCCAGGAGGGTGATGCAGGTTAAGGGGTGGTGGGGCTCCTGGGAACATTGTGGCATAGGGCTGCAAGAGAAAAGGCCCAGAGGTCAAGGGCAGGTTTAGAAAGTCCATATGGAACAGTTTGCTTAGAAGTAGGGAATGGGTCCTTTTATTCCCCCATTTATTGAGCTGTATTTGACAAAAATCATGTAATTCAGGGTGTACAATGTGACGTGTTGACGTGTGTATCTATAGTGAATGATGCCCACAATCACGCTGATGGAGACTCTCATCATTGAACATGGTTACTCTCATTTTCTGCAGGGAGAACACTTGAGCTTTACCCTCCTAACAGATTTCAAGTATGTGACATGGTGCAGTTAACTGTTGCCACCAGGCTGGGTTAGGTCTCCAGGAATTGCTAATGTGGAGCTGGAGGACATCATGCTAAGTGAAACTAGCCAGACAAGTACTGCCCGTGCCACTGCTGTGTAGACTCTAAAAGATGAACTCATAGAAACAGAGCAGGAGGGTGGCTGGCAAGGGGGTGGGGAGATGTTGGTTGGAGGGTCCAGACCCTATGAAAGGTGGGTCTCCTGAGCTGCCGTGCGCATCTCTGGAGGGAGATCCTCACCTCTCCACTCTTGATTCCCCCCTTTTCCTCCCTCAGTGCACCCACCACCAGGGGTCCAGGGAGAGCTAGCCCGGGAGCTCGCATGCTTTTGCTCTGCCTGGCCCCCCAAAAGCCCGGTGAGGTTCGTCCATGAATGCAGTGGCAGCTGTGCCTGCCCTAGTGGGAGTGAGTAGGTTTCTGCTCCTGCCTCCCCTTCGCCTGCTTCACAGCTCTGCCAAGCAGAATGCCACACCCATCATGCCCACATGCCAGCCACTGTGCCCGCATGCCAGCCATTGGGCAGGCTTCTGAAGCTCCTGAGAGTGTAAACTGCAGTATTTCTCTTAGAGAAAAACAGTCCAGTTCAATACTTCTGTACTCCAAGATGTTTTGTTATCTGACACTGCAAATGGGGAGATCTGGGTAGGTGGGCACATTTGAGCAATGCTAATTTGGTGCCAGTGAAAATTCTAGTGAAAAGGGTGGACTGTTGGTCTCAACCAAGAATGTCAAAGTAAGAGAAGCACTTGGTAGTAGATCAGTGCCACCTTCACTTTGGTTGTTCTTTTTAAATTATTCTAACCATTTTTAAATACCTTTACTTCAAACATTTAAAATTACAAGCACAACTTGAAAAATCGGTGTATATAACAGAAGTTCTCACGGAAGGTGGGCATCTATTTCAGGCAAGGTGTGCAGGCCTGGGTGTGCGGGCAGGCGGGTTCCAGGTGGTGGCGGCATTGTGTCAGCGTTGGTACACTACCCTCATTGTTTCCTGTCATTGCAGGTGATCTTCAAAGCCAAGTCTAAGTACTCTCCAGAATTACTCAAATACCGGTAAGTGCCCGGGACGTTTCCCTCCATGGCAGAAGATGAAAGCGCTGGTATGTGAAGCACTTGGTACCCCTCTGCGAGCCCTTGGAGTGATACTGTGTAGTGACGTTTGCCTGGGAGATTGTCTCTCTCGCTCGTGAGAGTCAGCCTCTGAGTAAGGACTTTCCGGGGCTCACAGTGGGTGCACCTTGTTCAGCAAGAGCCTGGTGCCTTGCAGGGAGGAGGTAGTTGGGAACCCAGTAGATGCACACTGTCTAGGCCTGAGGGCCACTGGAGAGGCACAGGGCCTTCGCAGAAGGAAATGGGTTTCCTGTGGGTGCTAGTGCAGGGCCAGGTTCCCCTCCCACCCCACGCACCCCTGGTCAGGTGCCCTTGTGGCAGTGCCTCTTCTCTGCAGCCCCCATTGCTAGCTGCTGACGCTGGGCAGGCTCCATGTTTTCCAGAACCCCTCCTTCCCTTGCCCTGTCATTGTAACTTGCTGCCAGCCTCCTGCTGGGATTCATCCACATCCAGCAGAGAGATCCATGTTTGACCCTTCAGAACACAGAGAAGGGAGGATAGGTAAGAAGTGTTCACTGTGCTTATAAAGATGTCCTAAGTGACACAAAACTTTGCAGAATCAGAAAAGGCAGCATATGCTCCATGCCTGTAGTGTGGCACATCTCCATCCCAGGCTGCATGGGAAGAGGTGGCACCACATGCATTTCCTATGGACAGGGTCAGTAGCTTTCCCCAGATTTTTCAAAGATCTGCGACTCCCTAAAGCCAAGAGCCAGTGGCTTACAGAATAGTCAGAGTTGGCTGGAGGGGCAGTGGGAGAAAAGGCCTGTGGGAGGGCAGGGCCCAGGAGCACGTTTTGGAAAGGTGAGTCACCATCAGGATCAAGATGAAAAATTATTTTGTTACTTTAAAAATAAGCTAAAGTCATTTATTTAAATACAGTTGGTCCTCCCTATCCTTGGCTCCATGTCCATGGATTCAATCAATAGTGGATCAAAAAATTTTCAGAAAAAAATTATATTCCATCTGAACACATACAGACTTTCCCCCTTATCAACAGTCTAACGATTGTCTACATAGTGTTTATAGTGCATTATGTGTTAAAAGTCCTCCAGAGATGACTTAAACTGTGTGGCAGAAGTGCAGGTTCTGTGCAGATACCATGCCACTGCTATAGAAGGACTTGAGCAGCCATGGACTTTGGTAATCTTGAGGGTCCTGAGACTAGTTCCTGTGGATAGGGAGGGATATGTATGTAATCTGAATTATGTTGAGAGTTTAATGTAGTGTCTCTCAGTTTACATGCAAGGAAGTGACTTGAGAACATTCCTCTGAAGTTCACAATAGGCTGGGGCCAGCCGGAGCTGCCTTGTCTTGTTTCCCTCCCCCTCTCCTGAGCTCTCTGCACTGCTTTTTGGATAGTTCAGTTTTCATTTCCACCAGACTGCTCAACTGGAACTTCAGAGCTCGCTGGGAAATGACAGTTGGTCCTGAAGAGGCTGAGCATCCCTAATCTGAAAACCCCAAGCCCCGCAAAATGCCCTCAAAATGAATTTTGAGCATCATAATGCCACAAGTGGAAAATTCCACACTTGATCTCAAGAAAGGGGTCACAGTGAAAATGTAGGCACGCTAAAAATGCTATGTGAAATTAACTTCATGCTCTGTATATAGCATATATGGATTTTTGTTTGTTTGTTTAGACTTGGGCTCCGACCCCAAGATATACATATGCAGATATTTGAAAATCTAGATGTGTGTAAAACCTGAGAATATTCAACCTGTTGTGAGTCCAAGGAGATGGTCCTCCCGCTTCTGAAGACAAATACAGATCAGTTGAGAGGACTAAAATAAGGAATGAGTGAAATCTGATGGAGAAGAATATATTCTGCCTGGATCAGGGAGCTGATTCCATCCTGGAAATGACTGGTTGAGGCTGGGTAATTAGGCGTCTCTCAGAAGTGGAATAGGAAAAAACTGGTTAGAGAGGAAATGGCTAGAAAAACTTTTGGGCTGGAGCACTGGGGCTGGGGTCCTGGGGCAGAGTATCTGCAGCAGGGCTGCAAACCCCGGGCTGTTCTCACTGGGAGGGGGACTTGCAGAGATGGAGGGAGAGATGGGAAGTAGGGGACTGTGGTGGGATCCAGACGTTAACTGTGAATGTTTGAGCCAGAGAAGGTGGAGGTTTTCTTGAAGCAGCAGGGAGAGGTTCAGTGGGAGAAGCCTGTTAACTCAGACCTATAATTGAGTTGCCAAGTATAATACGGTCCTAGGAGTTATTCACAATGGGGTGCAGTCTTTGTATCATCTGTTTAACTTCCCATTTCTCTTAAACTAGATGCCACTACAGACGTTTTAAGCCACTATTTGTTCCTGAGATGCTTTGTTCTGTGGCTTCTCAACAGGCTGGCTTCCCTAATTCAGTCATGACTCATCTGAGATGAAACATGAGCCATTAGTCTAGAACTGGTTCAGGCTTACCAACTCAAGCTGCTCCGGCAGCAGTTCTGTTTTTGAAGATAATTTATATCAACCCAGCCAAGAACCACTTTATTTCTTAGCCAAAAGCCCCCCTCTCCTAACACATGAGATGGCTCAGAGTTTTGCTGGGGTTGATGCCAACTTGATTCAGTTCTCCTCTTTCCCAGTCTCTCTGTTAATCTCTTTGGCTCAGAAAATGCAGAGCAGGGCATGGGAACATTCAAGAGTACTTTGATTTTTAAGGATTTTCAAGTGTTTTCTTTCCTCTTCTGATTTTGAATAAGTACAAAATGTAAGGAGCCTGGCTTTGCATTTCCCTTAAGAAATCTATGATATTAGGAGAGGAATTCAAACATCTGCAACCCATTGGTTTTTTTGGTCACCCCCCCTTCCTGGTAGAGGCAATGTCTGAGCTGGCGGTGCGCATGTCTGCCTCTCTGGGGCTAGTGGGTGGAGTGTCCTGAGCAGTGGCCACACATACCTCTCATGGCTTACCAGCCACACTGACTCTCCTGGTCTCACAGAATGATCCTCCCAGATGCTGGCTCATTTGATTCTCTTTTCCTTTCTTATTTTCTCTCATTTTGCCAGGGTGGGCTGTTTTTGGATTTCGAACTGTTTGCATAGACTTCACTAGCTGAGCATCCGTAATTCCAAAGTCAGAATTCTGAAATGCTCTGAAACTAAAAACGTTTTGAGGTATTGTTCGGTGCTCACAAAGTTTCTGATTTCAGAGCTGGGAGTGTGACTCGGTGGCAGAGTCCTTGCTTAGTATTTGTGGGGTCCTGGGGTGAATCCCAGGCACTGTAGAGAAAAAAAAGTTTCTGATTTCAGAGCCTTTGGGGTTTCAGGGTTTGGGGTTAGAGATGCTCAAATAGTATAAACATGTGAAAAGAAAGAAAACACACCTACCGAGCCCCTCCCCTAAATGTAAGCCTCCTGACTCTACAGCGATGCCCTGGGTAGCCTGTCACAGGTCCTGGTCTTCATGTGCAGTTCCCAGGACAGAGCTGTTCTCATACTTCCAGTTCTGCATTCTGACTTTTTAACTTACGTGAGATCATACATATTTTTTTCCAAATTCTTTCTAATCTCCCAACACAGCCTCTTTCTTCAAGTTGATAGCAGACTTCTGTATAGCAGGCTGCAAAACCTCCAGAGGCTCAGGGATAGGATTTGATAGAAATCAAGGGGAAGAAGGCTGCAAGCAGAACAGTCAGCTTGCTTGAGGATAGCAGGTGGGTGCTGCAGTCTGGCTGGGCAAAGTAACTGGGAGGTGACAAGCAACTTGAAGGTTGAAACGGGAACTGCTTTATTACGGAACAACAGTGGTATGTATACCTAACTGATAACACACAGCTTGACTCAATTAGCATCATCCAGATACAGCAATCAGCCAATAAGGAATCTCCACCATCTTAATGGCTCGGCGGCGTTGCCTCACAAACCACTCCTCCTGGCAAACTGCCAGGTGCCATCTTGACTTGATTTGTGATCCCCAACAGGTGGGGACACCCAGCCAGGTTGGGAGCTTGTCTGGAGGCATCCATAGACGACCTGCCTTGGTGACTGGTTAGGGTTGTTGAGGGCTGAGGTGAATTCTGGCCAGAGCTGGGAGGCAGCGTGGCAGCCGTGAAGCTGGCAAAGGAGGTGTAGATTGGAGAAGTGGGTGAAGAATCTGTAGACCTTGACCATGGCTTGTACAGAGGAGTGGGAATTGGAGATGACCTTCACAGTTCACAGCTCTGTGAAAAATCATGTTGCATCTCACAAAGGAGAAAACTCAGAGCATGTTAGGAACATCAGGAGCTGAGTCTAGGACACACTGGCATGAGGGACAGGGCCTCCTAATGGCAGGCCGTTGGGGCCTGAGTCTGCTTAGGGCAGAGGCAGAGCCTGAGATGAGATTTTTGAACTTGGTCATAGAAAAGTCGTGGTGGAAGTTGGAGAGCACTCCCAGGTCGCCTTCCTTAGGACAAGGAATGGGTGGGGTGCAGGGCTGCAGGAGGAGGGGAACCTAGGAAGGATGAGCAGGCCTCTGAATCCAGTGACCAGATGGCAGAGCTATTTACATGCTTGTGTCACAAGGGCCGGGGAGTGGGTGATAGCAGGAGGCGGCAAAGACTAGAGGCTGTCAATCTAACAAGGCAGACTGGGGTTGGTTGGGGAGGCCCTGAGAGTTGAACAAGAGAGAAAGCAGGGAAGGGAGGCTCTGGTCCCACTAAGTCCTCCAAGAAGCAAATCATCTCTGCAGAGAAGAGGAGAGGGCTGAGAGCTCAGAGTGGCCCAGAGACTCGTGTCATGTCACAGCTTCAGCTCAGGTGATGTCCTGCTCCACCTGCCTACCACACCACTTTCTCTCCTTGTGCACAGGCAGCGGGACAGGCAGGGGAGGAAGGAGTGGAGTGGAGGCTTGGTGTGGAAACCCAGATGGGAAAGGGAACACTGGGAGTAGTTGTGCCAATAGTGGGTGCCTCACGCAGTTGTGCCCAGCGATGCCGGGTAGCGCACCATGCCTGTTCTCCTTACCCTCTACCCTAGAGGTGTGTTCCCAGGGCACATTGATTTTTCAATAAAAGGGGAATAAGAATTTACATCTGTAATTTAATCATATAAAACCACAACTCTGAGGAGTCACATGGAAAGGTCCACGGCCAGTCTGTGCTTCCCCTGGGGCTGTGGCTGCCACTGGATGCCCTGTGTGTGGGACCCCCTTGCTGCGAGGGGGGTTCTCCACATCTGCAGTGTGTATTCTTCACAAAAGCACAGCAAAGCTCTGTGAAGCATGGAAAATGGCTTCCAGGAACAGAATGTAGATTGGTGACTCCAAGTGGCCCTGAGGTCCCTGTCCCTAGAATACACAATGGAGAACAGACAAAATCTGTAACAAGTCCCCATGAACCTGGCATTGCCCAGCATCCCATGGGCATCCTTTCAGAGATGGGTTTGGGCACCTGCCTTACTCCAGAGAGGAGGGAGGGGACTGGCCTGAGGTTGCACGTGTGTTGCCTCGTTTCCTGACTCTGACCCAGGACACACCACAGACTTCAGGAAGGGGACAGTGTCCCTGGGGTGAGAAGATCCTGGTGGAGACCTAGGAATGGGAAGCAGAGCCTTGTGGGCTGGGGCAGGCAGGAGCCGGGAGCACTCACATGCGGTGGCTCAGCTGTTTGGGGCTGGGTGCCTGGGTGCCTGGGAGGGTCCAGGTCCTTTGGGTGCCATAGTCTCGTTGGAGATGCTGGGTGCTGAGGGAACAGCAGGCTGTGGCAGAGGAGTGAGTGAATGGATTTGAAGGGCCTGATCACTGACCATGACCTGGAAAGGTACCTGTTCTTGGCACATCGCTAGTGTTTCCTTTTCCAAAGACATTTGTTCCTGCTTAAAAAGCCTCCAGTGCCTGGTGACCCACAGTGGAGTCACTGAGACTTCAGGAGACCCCAGGCACAGCACCAGGGGGCTCTGTTCACAGGGAAGCCCTGCTGGGGGTAGCAGCTCTCGCCATGCCTGAGTCCAGGTCTCTGAGTCCTGACTATGCTGCTTTCCTTGGCCAGGGGCCAGCACTTCCATCAGAGCTCCCCAGAGTGGAACTGCTTCTCTGGGTCTTGTCCCGGCTCTGCGCCATGCCACACATGGCTTCCTCAGACTCTAGAGCAGTCACCTCAATTGCTCCTCTGCTGCTCATCCTTGCATGTCCCCCGCACTGCTGCCCACACTACTTTGCTCTGCCATCCCCAACGGCCTGCCTGTGCCTCTCAGCCCACGGGTCTGCACACCTTGTCCCTGCCTGTGGGGCACACTCGGTCTGTGCTGTGGCACCTTCCCCAGCATCTGAGCGCAGGCCTGAAGAGGCACTTACAGTCCTTTCTCCCCTCCTGGGCAGATGTCATTCCTCCTGTCCTGTACTCCCTCAGCAAGAGACCCTCCAGCAGCTGTGGCAGCGTTTCCAGGAGATGCTCCGGAGGGCAGACCATGTTCAGAGGCCCAGCGTAAGGCATTTTGTATGAGTCCTTCTCCTTCCCTCTGGAAATGCATGCAGGGAGCCCCTGTCTCTCCTGCGGGCACAATGGGGTGGAGAATAGCCTGAGCCTGGGTGTCACTGAACTTGCTGCCTTAGGTAGGGGCAGGCACAGGCAGGTCATCGTCTTTCCTTTCGTTAGAAGCTGTGCGAGTCTGTGAGGCTCCAGCACAGGGAAGCAGATGTCTGAAATCATGGGTGTGTGCAAGAGTGTGGGGGACTTGGCACAGCTCTGTGTGACCACTGCCAGGCTGAGGGCTGTGGCCTGTGGGAGCCAGGCAGGCTTAGCACTTTGGTAGAACCCAGGGTCTGAGTTCCATGAGAGACTTTGCTGGTAGGGAGTAAGTATTCCAAGACATAAAAGTCCCTTTCACGTTGGTCCAAGTAAGTGGGGGTATCGTTTCACACTGTAGCTGCACGCAGGATGTAAGCCTGTGGCTGGGCACTGGCCTCAGCCTCTCTCCCCTGCCTCTGTACCTGTCTCCATCTATCTTCTCTCTCTCCCTGTCTCTGTCCCCCATCTGCCCTGTCATCAGTAATATCTGAAACTGGGCCTAGAATCCAGGATTCCCTCGTTCTGATCTGTGATGGCTTTTAAAGATGCCATCAATCCCTGTGTAGCCTCAAAAAATGGAGAGCTCTGTGTCCTCTGACTTGACTCATGGACATCCTCAAACCATTCCTATTCTGAGCTCGAGAGGCCAATCCTCATCTGCACACCTCCTGGGTGGGGTGCGGACAAGCTTGACTGCACACAGGTCTCGGGCACAGCGTGTTCTAAACTGAGTTTGAAAATGGCCCGGGAAACAGTTGTATCTGTCTAGCTATGGCACATTTTCAGTCACATTAATGGACTACCTTGATGATTTAGGACCCTATTAATGACTTTTTGGGGGAACAAACTGCATTGTACAAATAACTACATCACACAAACAGCTGTACGTTAGTGTCTGTGGGGACTGCTTCAGGGACCTGACAGCCAAGTCCATGGACACTTATCTTTTATGACCCACACATGTCCTTCCAGTCATCTCTGGATTACTCAAGGTACCCAGACAATGTGAATGCTATGTATAGATGTCACACTAGTGATCACAAGAGAAAGATTCTGTACGTGTTCAGTAGAGACACACAAATTACCTGGGTCTTCGTGTGATTGAGTCTGGGATGTGTACCCCGTGGCTAAGGAGGGCTGGCTTCCCTTCATCCTCATGAACAACCTGTGAAGTAGGGATCATGTGGTCTTATTTTCAGGTGAGGAAACTAAAGCTCAAAGAGGTTACAGTTTGCCTGATTTGCTCACAATTTGGTCTAACCATGCAGAATGTCCAGTGCTCACATTGGATCCCTGTCTCTGTGCTTGAGCTTTTGACTCTCAATATGCCCCCATCCTTGTACATGGGAGTGTTCTGGGGCCATTCACATGAGCCAGCCCGTACCTGAGAGCGCTCTCCTAGAGAGAGCTCTCCTTGTGACCTCTTAGAGATGGGGAATATCATGAAGGACCCTTAGGGGCAGAATTTGTGATTAGTCTGTCAATTTGTATCTGGAAATGTCTGTGGCCAAGAGTCTGAGCTCGTTGTTATCTTTGGAGCATTAACTAAAACACATGAAGACTTACTTCCCTCTGACATGTACAGCATGCAGGACCTGATGCCTTCAGTTTCCCTCTTGTTCTTTCCAGGTTGCCCCTCTACCTGGCCTCACTCTTCATTAGTCTCGTTTTCCTGTTGGTGAATTTAACCTGCGCTGTGCTGGTGAAGACTGGCAACTGGGAGAGGAAGGTCATCGTCTCTGTGCGAGTAGCCATCAATGACACGCTCTTCGTGCTGTGTGCTGTGTCTCTCTCCATCTGTCTCTACAAAATCTCTAAGATGTCCTTAGCCAACATTTACCTGGAGTCGAAGGTAGGGTGGGAATGTGGTCAAGATTCCTCTCATGAAATCTGTTCTAAAAGTAGTTTCCTGGTTCGCAAACAGGACACAACACAAATCATTTTTTTTTCACACCTGTCCTCTTGCAAATGATTAACCACACAGTGGTCTCCAGACAGGGGAGTGGGAGTTCACTGAACTTTGTAGGCAGGAAGTGCTCCGTGCCAGATGGCTCAGTGTGTTGGTGTTTACAGTCTGATTTGTAGATAGAGTTTAACCCAACACTTTAAAGGCGGGTAGGATGGGCTGTACCAAAAGCACTAGTAGCAAAGAGTCATGTGCATGAGCGGATGTAACCCTCACAGCTCTGGGAGGAGACAAGATCTCATCCCCATTTTATGGGTCAGAAAACTGAGGCATGGAGAACTCAAATAGCTGGCTGCTGGCCACGTGGCTATCAGGTGCAGAGCTGAGATCCACACTGTGGTGTCATGCTGCTGTTGCACTGCCGGGGACCCTCAGATCCAGTCAGATGCCAGACAGAGCTCGAGCAGCCTGTCCTTAGCAGTAGGGATGGCTCCTGGAATTCAGAACATTCCTCTTCTGATGAATATTCAGAGACAACTAGACATGAGCAGGAGGGATGCTCCTGGACTGTTCTTTTCTCCGACATTGCTGTGCCTCACAGCCTAGTCCCCAACTAGAAGGAAGAGCAAATATCCTCTGGTACTACAGTGCTTGTGGTCAGCTGGGTTCCCCAGATCTCTTTCATAAACAGACTAAACCTCAGCCCAGAAGCTTGGTGAGCATGGGGGCCGGGAGTACTCCTGGGCCCCAGCCCCTCGCTTTTCCACTCACCAAATGGTTGACAACTATAGCTCCTGTGCTGCTGAGGCGCAGGGCCTGGAGTCCCAAGGCATACCTGTGTCCATCTTTCTTGGGGCCCATCTGCCAGAATATATCTGATATGAAGGGCAGCTTGTCTCCCACTATATGTCTTCAGAAGGGATCAGATTAAAATCTATGCAACTAACTTCAAACATATGAAGCCCTCATTAGGACGCTCATTTAGTTGACCTCTTGCAAATCTTGCAAGTTAGTGTGAAAAAGTAGTTCTTGGATTTATAAATTGTGATGAATTTCAGACTTGATTTTACCTTTACTGTTTCATCTCCCACTTAGGGGCTATTTCAAGGATTTAAAAAAAAATAAAATTTTTAACAGTGGGAGTTAAGTCATAGATTGTCAAAATGCCATTTAGCTCACCCATATAACACACAAGCTAACAGAACTACTGACAAAATGATGTTTTGGATTTAGGTAATGACTTCCAAATGCAAAACCCAAAAATCAACTCTAGTGTTTTTTGGTAATGTTAGTTATCCATTTCTCGCTAAGGCTCTTTAACTGACTTTAGAAATTGATAGCTTTCTAAGGTGGGGCATGATTCACAGATTTCCTGTAATCCCAGGGTCACATCAGGACTCCTGTATTTGCAGTCTAGAAGGCTATGGATTTTGAGGAAGAGCTCACATCTAGTACATCTGGTACACCATCTCAGCACATTTGCTCCTAGCCAGTCCCTCCAAGACCGCTATGTCCCTTAGCCCGACCCAGCCTGGGCTCATGTGCTGGGCAGTGATTTTAGAGAAGCCCTCTGGCTTTGTGGCTCTTCACAGTGTAGGCCTTGGGCAAAGGGCTCATATCTAACCCTATTAAAAGCATCTTCCAACCAAGGCCCAGGTCTTCCCCATAGGAGGCTGCCTAGAATGTGAGGAGGGGTGGACACAGTGGGCCTGGGTGTGGGGCTCTGACAGAAGCCCTGAAGGGTGTTCCTGCAGTGCCTGAGCTCCTGAGGCTCTGGGTGACAGCAGGTGAGGAAAAGGGATGGGGCCAGTGTCCTGGACCTGGTGTGACCCACCCCTGCTGGCTCTTTTCCAGGGCTCTTCCGTGTGTCAAGTCACTGCCATTGGTGTTACCGTCATCCTGCTTTACACCTCGCGAGCGTGCTATAACCTGTTCATCTTGTCGTTTTCTCAGATTGAGAATGTCCACTCCTTCGATTACGACTGGTACAATGTATCTGACCAGGTCAGTGAGGATACCACAAGGGGTTTGCTTTGTGGCACTCCAGGTGGCAGAGGGTAAGCCCCTCACTTGTGATGAATAGCTGAGTGACCTTGAGAGGACTTTCCCATGTGGTATCTGCACCTTCCTCTGTCAGATGGACCACAGTATCTTGCTCTTGTAACATTTTCTGAGAAAGCTAGGTGAGCTATGTGTAGGTGTGTGCGCGCACATGCACATAAGCACACATGAGTATACAGCATAGGTACATGCACTCCCATCTCCTTTCCACTTCACGGTTCTTGCTTAGAAGTACTTAAAATTTTTACCTGCTTCCATATAAGATGGTGTTATTAAAGGGTAAAATTTGCTAAAATAATATTTGGTTCAAGAAAGTACCCAAAACTATGAAGTTTTGAGACTTTTTAATGGAGCATGTATACAATAGTGATGAGGATATTATGGTTTAATGAAAGCTCACAGCACCAGGGGTCTAATATGATTCTCACATTTTATGAATTCATAAGTTATAAACTGTAAGCAAAGAAATGCAGGCAGTGTCATGTCTGACATCCATGCTCATAATAGCTCAGAAGAGTCAAGGATGAGAATGAGCTGGTATTCACTCATTTGACATATTCTGACTTTTGTTGTCAGGCTCTGTGCAGAGTGCCAGGACACAAACATTAACAGATGCCTCTGCCCCAGGGTGGGGGGAGGTTTATGGTCTGCAGGCAGACGATGCACCCACATGCGTGCGCGCATGCGCCCACACACACACACACACCTACACACATGCCATTACAGTACAGAAATGACTCTTTACTAGAAGTCTGTTGGGTTGATGGGCTCCTTAGGTTTCCTTGGAGTAACAGTGCACAATAAACTATAAGTCCTTTGCTAAAATCCCAGCAGAACTGAATTAAGACAGTGGGAGAAAGAATAAAATGACCAGGATGATCCAGAGGACAAAATGAAATCAATGTGAGATGTCATCATTGGGAGAATTGAACAGCAGCAATAACACAGCAATCCCAGACTGAGCCCAGGGCCACAAGTGCAGAGGGGAGAAAGCTGGGCCAGGTACTGGCAGGGTGTGCCTTGCAAATTCCAATATATGAAAACCTAAGCTAAATAGTGACCAATTATGAATACATCTTTCATAATGCACAAAGGATTTGCATATTGCAGAATGTATATTAAATGTCCTAACATTGCAGACCAAGTGCACTCAGAATATTCATGCAGCTGTCACCATCTACCTCCAGAACCTTTCCATCTTCCCAAACTGAAGCTCCATTAAACAACAAAGATTTAGTTTTAACAAAACATTTTTCTTTCAAGAACTTATAATTACCAGGGATTGAGAATATATAATCAGTTTTTAAAATGCTTTTGTTTGGGGGGAATTATTTTGTTATGATCTAGACTTGTGTGTCACAGCCCAAATAATTTAGGAACAATAAAACAAATGGCCATAGTTGCATGTTTTTGGTGCAGACTGGAAAAAGTTGGCTGAGCTGTAGTACAGGTGAAGGATGTGAAGTGTGATCAGGGTCCTTCTGGAAAGCAAGACGAGTAATTTTGGTTCCTTTATCTTCCACATGATGCATTAGAGAAGGCAAAAGGAAGTTAGGTGCCTGGCCCTCTAGAACTTGGTTTCAGTGCCTTCTCCTAGTTTGGAATGTTATTTCTGGAGTTTCTCACATCTGGGTCCCCTTTTCTTATGGACTGCCTGTCTGATGGAGAACACTGTGTTGCTGAGCCCCATTGGCCATTACCCTGGGCCAAAGCCCAACATCTAGTACTATAAGGACTTGATAGACTAGCTAGCCTACAGTAAGCTTTAAAGGGTATAGCTTATGTGAAGCTTAAAAATTTATGTTTATTCTAGGGATGAGAGTTAAGGGGTAAGTCACATGCTACTCTCAAGAACTGAAGAGGAGGCAACATAACAGTCAACTTGTTGAAGAAAATCAGCATAGATCTAAGTGAGCAAGTTGGACACAAGAGGTTTGGGGGATGAAGTAATAAAACATCAGAAATTTGGTGAAATACTCAGACACCAAATTTCTGATAAGACAAGTTATCCATTCCTGACTGATTCAAATAATCCGCAAAGGCCGGGACCATTACACAATGCACATTTTAGTGGAAAGGAATCATACCATATTATGGTTCTGTTTTAAGTCAAAGAATTGAATCAAATGTATTTCCTCTGCCATTAGTTTGATGATGCCATCTCTCCCCTTTTTATAGGCAGATTTGAAGAATCAGCTGGGAGACGCTGGCTATGTGGTGTTTGGAGTGGTGCTTTTCGTGTGGGAACTCTTACCCACCTCCTTGGTAGTTTACTTCTTCCGAGTTAGAAATCCTGCAAAGGGTCTTGTGAGTATGCCATTTTATATTAGCAAAAACACAAATTCTGCTCACGAAACCTGCAGTTAGAATCTTTTCCTAGCTTTTGCGTAGAGGAGAGAGCTTCCTTTATACCATAAAGGAGGTATACACATGCCTTGGCTATTTGGGGGCTTTCTTTTCCCTTATGTGTTTATTTTATAAAAGAAATGCATCTTGTAGACTGGGGAGTGTGATTTTTCTTAATGCAATAAAATCTCACTAGTATTTGAGTCTGGATTTGCTGTGCACCAAATACATATGCTTTTCTTTTAGCAAAGGAAATGATAAATTCAGTTTTTCACCCTACAGCGTGTGGAAAGGGACTGGGGCTAAAGCCACTCCTGCAGTTTGGTCACATTTCTGTTCAACTACCTTTATATATATATATATATATATACATATATATATATAATGGGGGCAGGACAGAAAATGCTAAAACTAGGTAGAGAAAGCTTCCACTGGGGGCTTTGCATCAGATTATTCCAGCCACTCAAGCTAGTGGTAGAATTTCACCTCCTTAATCTCAGGTTATGAGTAGATTTGGGCTATGTGAGAAAAGGGTGGATGAATGCATAGAATGAAATCCACAACTAAGCTGGTCCTTATCTCATACCCCGAGGATAATAACTTGCTTTATTCTTATTCTTCTCTGGATAGTCACTGATGATCCAGGAATACAGAACAGTGAGGCTGGGGTAGGGGTTTAGGCATACCCTGGCCCAGAGGCCCTTGGATAGAGAACTAACTGGGATGAAATTCAACAATGTACATTTCAGAGTTTGAGAAATAATTCAATTTGGGGGCAAAAACAGGATGAAATGACCATAGAGACAGGCAATAGAAATAGGTTAAAAACCTTTCCCAGTATGATTTCATCACTGTTTTTATTTTGTATGAATGTCCACAAGATTATACAGGTTTATATCCAAAAAGGACTACCAAGTTTGGCTAATTTGGGCATTTTTAATGAGGGATTAAACAATGACTCACTGTTGAAACCAAAATGGGTTTTATCTATGCTGATGTAGTGATCACCCCAGCGTAAAGGAAGTGACCTGAACATCTTAATCTTGGGTAATGCATAGTATCTGGAAGGATGCTGAATGATTCTCTTTCTCTAGACCAACCCTGGAATGGTCCCCAGCCATGGATTCAATCCCAGATCGTATTTCTTTGACAACCCCCGAAGATATGACAGTGACGATGACCTTGCCTGGAACATTGCCCCTCAGGGACTTCAGGGCAGGTAAGACCCTGGTTCACAAATAGGGCTCATGAGGAGACAGCTACACCACTGAAATGGATTCCTTCAAGAAAACCACATAGCTAGAGGTTGTGCAGGACCTCTAGCAGATTATTTTACGTAAGTGAAGTGTGAATGAAAAAGGACTGACACAAAATCTTAAAGCCCCACGACATTATTATAGTGTCCTAAACACTACATGGTCGGCATGTCTGTAATAGCTGTGCTGTGTGGATGCAAATGGTGTTTAAAAGAAAAACAACTGCAGAATTTCCCAGAGCCTAAGGTGTTGTTTCAGTCAGCATTTTTTGCTACTGTGCCAAAAGGACCGGACAAGCACAACTGTAGAGGAGGAAAAGTTGATGTGAGGGTTCATGGTTTCAGAGGTCTTAGTCCATAGAAGGCTGGCTCCATTTCTCAGGGCTCGAGGTGAGGCTCAACATCATGGCAGAAGGAAGCAGTTCACATCATGGTGATTAGGAAGCAAAGAGACTCTGCTTGCCAGATACAAATATATTCACCAAAGCCAGCCCCAATTCCCACCTCCTCCAACCACTTCAGTTACCATTGTTAAACCTCATCAGAGGATTAATTCACTGATGGGGTTAAGACTCTCAAAACCAAATAATTTCTTCTCTGAACCTTCTTGCATTGTATTACATGCGCATTTTTGGGTGACACCACATCTAAACCATAACAGATATACTCTGACTCTCTAAGAGGGAAAGAGAACACTAGGCCATGAAAACACTTAATGGAAACGGAACATGGGAAATCTAAGCAGACTAATCAGATGTTCTAAAATCAGAGCCTTCCTTAGTGTCCAGGTGTTTCAGCTATGCTCACTGCCCTGTGATCTCATGCTTGCTGAGCCCCTCCTGTTGCTGAGTTTAAAGATTTATTCTATGTCAATGTACCGTTGATAAGATATGCACCCCCACCTCTGCAGATGCGGATGGAACCCAGGGCTTCAGACAATACTAGGCAAGCCCTCTATCATTGAGCTATATTCCTAGCCCTATGCTAGCAATAGGAAAGTGCTTAGAAAACCTTAAAAGCACTCTGAAGAGGATCCTTGCCTTAGAAGAGACAGAAAAGCCAGGAGAATGGGGATCACTTCCATCTCCACAATTAGCCCCATGAGGAAAGTGAGGCACAGAAGTTATTTGTTCAGGCACACAAAGGTAGTGAGCTGTCATTCACACAAGCATTCATTCGTTGATGGAAATGTGTTATACATAGTGACTTGTTTCTAGGTTCTAGTGATGCTGCGCTCTGAAGAGTTCAGTAGGGGGGCTGGGGTTGTAGCTCAGTTGTAAAGCACTCACCTAGCATTATGAGGCACTGGGTTCGATTCTCAGCACTGTGTATGAATAAAATATAATAAAGGTCCATTGACTTTTTTTAAAAAAAAGTTCAATAGACCATGTGTAGGCTGCCAGCGTGGTGCACAGGACTGTTCTAAATGGGTTTAGAGTATACCAGTTCCATCTACTTAACCAGACATGTCATGCATACGGAATATGCCACTTTAAGACAGTGATTTTTTTTTTTTTTTTTTTTTTTTTAAGTTTTGCTCCAGACTACTATGACTGGGGACAACAAACTAACAGTTTCCCAGCACGAGGAGGAACTTCACAGCAAGACTCAACTTTGGATCCTGACAAACCAAGCCACGGGTAGCATCAGTTACACTTTAATTGAAGATTCCTTTGTTGAAAATCTACAGAAAGACAATGATAGCTGAGTTTTTTTGGGGGGCACTTTTCCCCTAAGAAATAGGACTTGATTTTTATTTTAGTTTTTTTCTAATGGCTCAATAGGACAAAGCAATAATTTAGATTGATAAATTCTTATTTTCAGTACTAATAAGCGAGCCTGGCTATTTCATTGGGTATAATTTAAAGAAAATCTGTACTTTTATAAAAATGTATTTTATATAACTTAAATAATAATGCTAAAGAATACTAGGGTTTTTCCTTGAGAATGTTATGCAATATATGTTGTAGTTTGCACATCTTTTATGCATAATTCACTTTAAAAGTACAGAATACATGGTTTAAGGCTTTTGAACTAAAGTCATCCTTACCTCTGAAGGTCACTCGGATTCCTCCACATTAGTAGACTCCTAAAATACAATTTATATCCAGAAAGCCAATTGTGACTGCAGTATTAAATTACATGGAACATCATCAGCCTTTAAGGAAAATGGCTCTTCAGAGTTTTCTAAAGATCCAGATGTTTGGTCTCAATCTTATATTTTGCCAAAAGTCTGGTACTTCCTTTTATCAGGACACCAATGCATGCACTTTGGTAAGAACAAGCTGATTACATTAACAATGTAGCTGACTGACACTATTAAACCACCTCTGCTTTATTCATAGTGATTTTGCATATTTTTTTCAGCAAAATGAAATTGAATATCCATTACTTCAGGAGTGTAGCCAGATTCTACCTTCCCTAACTCAGCAAACATCCACTTCTCAAGAAGAAACCATGAGGTTCCCAAGAAGGCGTTAATATGCCTTTAGGTTGAAATTCTCTAGAATTGATAGTTTTTCTGTAATATCCAACCATGTTTAAAATGCCTCTTGAACAGCTCCACAAGCAGCTCAGCTGAAAGCTGAAGGTTTGACATGGCAGTGGGGAGGGGGATTGCTGAAAGAGCTCTCTATGAAATATATCCCAGACCAAAAGTGCCATTGTAAAACCTCCAGACCTCCATTGTATATACTCTTGAGCTACCTACAGGGAGGCTGAATGCTCCGATTTTCCACCCAGCACACCTCTGGTTCTAGAGGAAGTATCATTGCTGTAGAGAAAGGACTATTCCATTCTGCCTCACCTTAGAAGTTTCATCTTAGGATAGAATGAAGGACAAGTGAGAAGGATTTGTAAGGATTGTAAGTTCTGTAGCTCCTACTTCCCACTCTGGTCTTCAGGAATAACTGATCTCTGGACATTAACTTCACATAAACAACTCTACTTTCTTATTCTGATGGTCTTTAAAATTGGGATCTCCAAAGTTCAAATGAGTCATGATTGGGTTTTTCAGAAAACCTTTACCCTGCGTAATCTCAGAACACAGTCTTTCTGTACATGGAATAATCTGGGTCAACTATTATTTAAAATACCATTTAAAATAGTTACTTGCCAGGGGAAATTTTACACTGAAGCAAAGCCTGCACCAATCATTTAGGTTGCCTCAAAACAGTATTATACATTGTTACTCTAAACAGTGTTAAGAAACCCCCACCGTGGTCACTTTCTTTTTCATGTTTAAGGAGTTCATAGTATTAAGGCAAAGTGCATATATACCCAGGAAAGAGAACTCTAGGATCACAGGGAGACTCTTGTTTGCCTTTGGGCCACATTGTCTCCCACTGTGCTGGGAGAATTCAGGCAGATGCACCATATAAGTCTTTGCTATGTCCTGCATCCTTCACTATTTAGTCAGCCAAGGACAGGTGTATTTTAAAGTGCAATATCATAAAATCACATAATTATTGTACTTATCCAACAGTACATAAACACTGTTTAATTATCTTGTTACTATCAGGAAAAGCAAAATCCCAGCATCAAGTAACAGAAGCCACAATCCACTTTTATGATAGGTTGCTAATATTTACATGAACTATTTTTTGTTGGAAAAGATAATATTTTAAGTGCCCGTTCTGCCCTCCTCCTTTTAAAAAAGTAATGCTAAACTTTTAGGAATGATGTCAACCCACACTGGAATAAACAACTGTCAGACTCACATCCTCTCATAGAACCATGTACCCTACAAGCTGCAAGATGCTGCAGGAACATTGTAGAAAGGAAAAGCAAGTTTCCCAAGCTTCTGAATTTACTTGCCCTGCAAGGTATGGTAGCAAAACTGTTCTTTATGTGGAATTTTGAATGCTAAGAGGGGAAGAGGAATGATTTCTGGTTCTAAAATGCCCAATGTTCCCTTGTTTTAAAGTAAAATGAAATTTAAATCCTGATAATGTGCAAGTTAAAAGTGCCTGGAGAAGAGGTAGTACTACTGAAAATTCTGTACCACCATTGTAGTCCAATGCAGCATTAAAAAACTGCACGCAAATGTTTCTGTGTGACTACTAAAGACATAGCCACCTCTGCAATGAATCATTCTACCTGCTCTGTGGAGGTATTTTTCATTGGCTTTGTTTCCATTTTATATAATTAAGGAGTTCTGCTTAGCTGGTGGCATACATCTGTAATCCCAGTGACCTGAGAGGTTAAGGCAGAAAGACTGCCAAGTTTGAAGCCAGTCTCAGTAACCTGGCAAGACCCTGCCTCAAAATAAAAAGGCTGGAGATGTAACCTAATGGTAAAACATCCTTGGGCTTGATCCCCAGTACCCACTCATAAAAAAGTTCTGATTATTACAATATGCCTATCCATTACATTTAGTTATGCCAATTCTCTCTTGAATGTTACCACATTTTTAATACTGTGCTGGTCCCTCAGTCATCTGTTTAGATCAGGCAAACTCACTAGTCCCTCCCACATTCAACCTTAACAAAACCTCATAACTGGTCTTTGGGGTCCTTACTGTTGAGCCCACACTTAATCCCTATTACTCCAAGTAAGCATTAACTCCAAAGATTCAGAAGTGCTGTGAGAAAGATTTTCATTTACATCTACATACTGATTACTACTATAAAACTACTTTTCTTAAACTTTGTTGCTGGGGATTAAACCCAGGGCCTCAGGCATACTAGGCAAGTGCTCTACCACTAAACTTTTTATTTTTTGGTGCTGGGGATTGAACCCAGGGCCTTGTGCATGCAAGCCAAGCGTACTACCAACTGAGCTATATCCTGAGCCCTGCTTCTAGTTTCCTAATAGGTAAATCTACATTAGAACTAAATAGGTCTTAATATTTTTTTTAAAAATCCTTGCACTTTAGATTGCTATATGATAATATTATACCCTGGTATGGAGAAATGTGATACACATTTATACTTTTGATCCGATGTGAGAATTTTATTAAAAACGTTTCCAATTGTGCATAAACTACTTACAACTTAAAAGGTCCAGATGGAGGAGCTGTTGGAATGATCAGGATAAACAGTAAAGTTCTTCTCAAAGACTCTATATTAATAAACCACTTCAAGTAAGGAAACCTGTTAAAAGGGACAGTGTGCATAAGGGAATGGGATTCCATGTCTATAGAGTCATTGTTTTGCTACACTGGTCTATGAACTCAGGAGCAATTGTATGTTAACCCTATTCTAGTCCCTCATCAGGGACACATGAAAAGCCCTATCCAAAGCCCTGCTCAAAATACCTAATGTCTGCTGAAAACGTCCCTGTGCCCCAGCCCAGCTCTGTACCTGACTGCTGTATCTTTGCCCCCGTCCTTCTGGGTCAGGACATGGTGCTATATCCATGCAGTGCTGCACAGGTCAAGTTACAGGTTCAAAGTCCTCAGATGCAAATCCAGTGACTCAACAGCTCCTGGCATCTACTTGCTTTCTCCAGGTCTGGATTCCCTACTACTTTCTAGTTCTTGAGCCATGGCTGACCCCTGCTCTCTACTTTCCCTGACACCGACTTGGCAATCAATCCTTTAGTTTCAAATCTGGTCTGTCCTTTTGGAGTTGGGTGCACTACCACTCAAAATATTAACTTTTTAAAAAATTCACAATAGACTTTCTGGCCCTGATTTTAGCCTGGGCAGAGCTGGAGTTCAGAGGCTTTCTTCTCCTGAAATGTGACCTCCATCTCTCCAGTTTATGACCCTCAAAGTCCTTCCTTTCCCTGTTTCTCCTTATGGGCATGACCTTTTGCTCATTAGTCTCACCTGCCCCCCAGCAGTCCCTCTAGACCTTGTGCAGTCCTGAGGCCTGGTGTTCTTAGCGCCATTTTATATCTTAATGTCTTCTGTCTGGATAAATGAACACTGCTTTCTCAGGGCCATTCAACCTATGGAACTGAGTAGCCACAGAGTGCTTCTCCCTGGTATAATCACTAGCCCAGAATCTGGACTTCAGGTTTACAGAGATAAGAACTGTTAAGAGAAATGTGCTGTAAAGGCCACAGGAAAAGGTACACAATCCCAGAATATTGCCTGGTGAAGCCAACTTTGCCCTGAGGAGTGGTGTCAGGGAAGTGACTTTACCTGTGGAGCCTGATGACAATATCAGGAAGATACTATAGAGTTCATTCCACCCAGTACTACCAATCAGAATAGTTAGACACACTGGGGGAAAATGGAGGGCAGGGCGGGAGAGACGGGAAGGAATTAAAGACGACCAAGGTACAGATATTAAAAAATACAGCCTGTATAATTAAACAGTGTCTGCTACATTTACACACCAATTAGAGAAACAGAGACAGAACCCAGGTAGAGCTAAAAGTGCATATGGGATTTGAGATATGACAAGCATAGTCTTCTCTAGATGGGATTCTAGGTTGGCATTTGTCATCTTCAGCTGACATTAATACTGAAAAGGTACCAAGATATAAACAGAATAATCCAGTTAGCTTACAGAATAGTAAGTTACATGGTGGCAGTGACATCTGTTGCTTATTCATTGCTGTATTTCTAGTTCCTAGAGGTGAGTGAATACTCACCTCTTGTGGTTTTGGTAGATTTTTTTTTTTTAAGGTGCCTTGTATACTTGTATCTATTGCTTATTGATTTTATAAGTTTAGTACTTAAGAGCTTTTCCTTCTTGTTTTACATTGTGTAATCAAAATACTTGACAAAAATTAACTTAGAGGAGGAAAACAACCTAGGGAAAAGATGCTGAGCTCTGGGAAACAGGGAAGCGAGAGGGTGGGAGGCACAGAAAAGATAAACCTACCTCAAGCACAACCAAGTGACACACTAGGTCCCGCCTTTCAGCAGTCTTTCAGCTTTCAGTGGATGGATTAATCGCCTGATGTGGACAGATCCTTCATGATGTAATCATGTCCTAAAAGCAGCATCTCTGAGGCTTGCTGAACTGGAGACCGTACTTTTAACACATAAAATTTGGACCTGGCACATCCCCAAAAGCTCAACAAAAGGTAATGAGGATTTTATAAGATAATCCTCAAATCATCCTTGGAGACTAAATCCTACAATAGAAGCACTAAGATGAAATTCTGTCCACATGAGCACTAGTGTTGTGCCTCCATCTGCCTTCACTTATTTGGCAAATGCAATACTAAAATAATTAGCCTAGTAATAAAAAAAAAAAAAAGAAATCAAGAAAAAAGATCTTTACCAGTAAGCAGTGACAAGTGCAACCCTTGAGAGAGAACACTGAGCCAGAGTTTTAGCATGTTTTAAGGATTTTTAAAGCTCATATAGAAAAGCAAATCAGAATAGCTAGACACACTGGGGGAAAATGGAGAGGGCGAGAGAGACGAGAAGGAATTAAAGACGACCAGGGCACAGATACTAAAAAATACAGCCTATATAATTAAACAGCGTCTGCTACATTTACACACCAATTACAGAAACAGAGAGAACCCAGGTAGAGCTAAAAGTGCATATGGGACTGAGATATGACAAGCGTAGACTCTCAGTCAGGCATAGTAGCACATGTGTGTGGTCCCAGTTGCTTGGGAGGCTGAGGCAGGATAAGTCTGTAAGCACACAAGTTCAAGTTCAGCATTATAAAAACACTTCTCAAAAAAAGAAAAAAGGTAGCCTCTCAAACTAGTGAGGGAAAAATGAACTGTTAAAGGTACTGCGACAACTAGGTAATCATTTGTGGGAAAAAATTGGGTTGACCAGAATACATTCCAAAGGATCAAAATTTGGATGTTAAAAAAAAAACAAGGGGGCTGGGGATGTGGCTCAAGCGGTAGCGCGCTCGCCTAGCATGCGTGCGGCCCGGGTTCGATCCCCAGCAGCACCACATACCAACAATGATGTTGTGTCCGCCGAGAATTAAAAATAAATAAATGTTAAAATTTAAAAAAAAAAAAAAAAAAAAAAAACATAAAAGTTCTAGAAGAAATTGGTGAATTATTCCATTGTCCTGGATTGAGGAAGGCATTATAACCATGACTTAAAAATCCAGAAAATACTAAAAAAAAAGTTATCAGGATAGATAAAAATAGAAAACTTCATGGCAAAACCATTATAAGCAAAGCTAAATGACAAACAACAAATTTAAAAAATACTGCAGTTCATTACAGCTGAAATGTTATTATCCCTAACAAACTAGTACTAGAAATCCATAAGGAAAATAATCGTGATAGAAAAGTGCACAAAAGATTTGAACACAAAAGCAAACAAATGGTTCTTAGGCATATTAGAAGGTGTTCAACCCTAGTCATAGGAATATAAACATACTGATCAGTTTTTTCATCTATCAGAAGATACAATCCAGCATTTTAATAACATCTGTGATGGTTAGGCTGTGGGTTAAGATGTGAGATGACATACATAAAAATTCTGAAAGCAACCCAAATGACCAATAAGGGACATCCATGTAATGGAATACCACGCAGCTATTCAAAAATAACAAAGCCATCTTGTAACACGTGAAGGCCATCAAGAAATAGTATGTGGAAAAAAGGCAAATGATGTGTATATGATGTCACTAAGTAAAAATGAGAAAATGCTTTACATTTGTATATTTGTATATGCCCGGAAATGTTTGGCTGGAAACAAGAGTAACCAAGAGGTCATATATAGTGCTGGTGGGCAGCGGGTATGCAGTGCTGGAAGTTGGGCCTCTGATATGAGGACATTTGCTGTATAACTTTTATTATCTTTTGGCTTTTTAACCATATGAATGTATTACCTATTCAGAAAATTAAATAAAATAAGCATATTTTAAAAGCCTTATGAATCAATACAAATTGAAAGATGTTAAAACCTCCACATCTTTTAGTCGAAAGTAACAGGCCACTTGTACAGAGAGACAGACCACACCGAGAGCTCTGGAGTCAGATTTTCTGGACCAGTTAGTGAGCCTATCTTGTCCCCCGTTTTCTTATCACCTACCAGTGCTGCTGTGAAGATGAAACAATGCCTGCCAACACTTGCTATCATGACTAGAAGCAGCCACCTCAGACCACCTGCAAATATATTTTCTCCCCACTCCACAAATGACAAGCAAATCTTCATCTCCTAAAAGAAACACTTAAAATTTGGGGTAGGGGGTGGAAACAAGACAGAAAAAGATTGCAGAAACATGTACTTTAATCCACATTTTCTATAATCTGGTGGGTACAACAGCAAATTATTTGGAATTCTTTTCAAAAATCAAAGCTGCACCTGTAAGAGTTACTTAAAATAGAGTACTAGTGATCTTATGTGTTGAATTTTGTACAAAAGAATTTCCACAATACCGTGCACCTAACCTGTGTCTTTTGGTGAATAGCTATGGTTTCTGTAGGTACTTCAGTCTGCAAACTGCTGGGAGGTTTACTGTGAACTTTTTCTCAAGTTTCCATCTGAAGGCAATGCTGATGAAGACCAAAAGAGCTGTCCTTTCTTACATACAATGGCACCTATGCAAAGTCGAAAACATGGCACAGTGTTTCACATACATAATAAAATTACAAAACTGAGAAATGAACAATGTTTAAAGTCAGAGCATTTTACTTGTCAAATTTCAAAACTGAAATCTGTTATTCTTCCATATGATCTTCCTCATAATCCAAGAATCAAAACAGAAGGAACACAGTATGTGGTTTGTCTAACTTACAGAGATGCCTCTTAAAAAAAAAAAATCATGCCATTGAAGGAAGGAATGGTTCCTTTTCTCCTTGTTCATTAGATCATCAGCTGCTACAATCATTTCTGTCAGTTATATGGTCAAGTGCTGGATTTTTACATTAAGTGATGAGATACAGACAAATTCCAAGAAATGCTCACTAGCTGAACATTTCAAACACCATGCCATCAGTTTTCAGTCACCACCTCACAGCCAAAGTGAGTGAACTGGGAGCAGTTTACATCTCAAGGACCATTAAATGTCACCAGACTCAAAAAGCAGGTTCCTGCAGTCTACACAATCATTAGAAACACACAACACACACAAATGTAGACTGCTCCCACAATCTGATTTATAGTAAATAAAATAAAGGTAATCAGATGAATTTCAGATGCAGAATACTTCATTTTATTTTCTTAGAAGTGAAAAAATTCACTAAAACCAAAAGTAACTTTAGCTTAACTAGATCTTTTAATATGCCAGAGCACATTCTAATATATTTTCCTAAGCTTGAAACAAAGAAAAATGCAATAAATGGAAATGACCAAGAATTTACTCTAGTAAATAAGAGTTTAAATAGTAGCTGTTAACTGGGGAATGGTGAAGTAACACTAAAGAGATCTTTAATTTACAATAAAAATAAACAAAGTGCAAACTTTTCACATTTTCTGAAACAATGATCACTAAGTGAAGAATAATTCTTATTCTTACTAGCAAGATGACTAGATATTCACTTAGCCTTAAGGTTTCCCTCCTCAAACCCTCCCCAAAGGAGGGGGGGAGGAAAAAAATGGAGGAAGCTCCAATCAAGCCAATCTTTTTATTCAACCTAACAAAATTACCCCCCAACTACAACAAAATCCCACATTCATAAAGGTTAGAAATTGGGTAAGAAAATAAATAACTCTAGTTGGACCTTCTTCCCCCAATTATACTGTTCCACAGGATGGCAAAAATATAATTTTAAAATATGCCATGAAACTGTAAAGGAACACATATCAGACTCTGGCAGCATATGATATGGGTTTAAGAGCACTTATTTACTTTAGGGAAGATGGAAGACTCTAAGGAGAAACTAGACTTTGTACCTGTGATACTTCTACATGAATATTCAACCTTTCAAGTTAATTCCATTATATCCACTGACACCTTTAAAAGAATCAAGACTTTTAAATATTGTTTGACGACTAAATCCCAGGATTAGAAAGTGACAGTCTAGGACCTAAAAGTCTGTTGGTCTGAGTCACACAAAGTACCACTGATACCGGATGAGCTAAAAATGGAAAGAGAGGGAAAAGGAAGCCTAGAAGAGGCCTGACCTGATCTCCCTCTGATATATATCACCAGAGACAATAGCACTGAGAGCTAAAGGGTTGCATAGATTGTATTCAAAATTAAATCCTTTAAAAAGTACTTACTTTAAAATAGCAAGTTTTGTGAATAAAAGTAATTGGCATAAATTCATATATTTCCCTTCAAATTTTTCAAGAAATAATCCATTAAATAAATATGCAGGGGTTTTTTTTTTTCTTAAAGTAACTGACAATATCTAAAATTAGGAGAGGAACAAAGTCAGAAGGTGATCTGTTTTAGGTAAGGAATGCTCCTGTGCCAGCCCAGTGCATAGACAGGACCCCTTGTGCAGTCAGTACTTACCTTCACCAACACAGGTCCTTTAGGCAAAAAAACAAAACTGCAACCTCAACAAGAATATCAAAAACCGTGGAACTAGAGCTAGAAGTGCTGGGGATCTTAAGGAGCCCCTGTTCCATTCACTGAATTGGCCACTGACCACAAGGTCAGCCCCACACTATAGAAGGTGACACACAAAGTGCCAGGCAAGGCTAAAAACAAGTTAAATCACAGACACATTTTTGTGATCCTAGTCCTAACCAACACTGGTTCCCTAGTTGTTCTTTTCCACAAAGGACTGAACTCTGTTACTAAGATAGAAATAGTCATTTAAAGTTTGACAACTGGAAATAAAGGGTAATATAATAAAAATAAAACCAATTCAAAACAAATGGAACAGAAGAATATTCAACAGAAACACATGAAATTAAATAGAATTAGTATAATTTACATATCTTAAAAGTATATACTTCATTTATAAATATTTCTAAATGATAATCTATTAAAGGTCATAAATATTCAAGTGAACATTTGAATTTTCTCTTTTAAGAGTTCAGAATTCTTGAAGTCTTAGAAGATTAGTCTCTCTCTGCTGAATGTCCAAGACTAAAAGGCTTCATCAAGCCACTGTACGTTTCTACTTGGACATATAAAAGCCTTTATTACCTACTGTGTTGTAATAAAACTTTAAAATTCTGTAACTCTCTTATACTTGTAGAAAGCCTATAGGAGAAAAAGAAAAGCATATTAGTACATACAGCTAATATGATGTTACTTATTTCAAATTCCTGATAATGTTAAAGGCCACAATTTGAAAGCAAAATCTAAAGTTAAAAACAAACAATAATACTGAACACTGAGGATTCCAATTTTTAAATCAGTATGCTACCATCTCTTACAAAAACTGACAAAACACAAAACTATAGTCCTTTGGTCTTGGTTTAGAAGAGGCAAAGGAAGCCAGTTACTTATTATCAACAGACTTTAGAAAAAGTAATATGAAAATAACTCACAATGATAAAGAATCTCAGATTATTTGTTTCCCCTCATAAATTCATTATGTACATACCTCTCCAAACACTGACTACTCCTTTCTAGCTGCCCCCTAAACACACTAATGGTTCTTTATCTTGTTGCCTGCTGAGGGTAAAGACTGCTTCCTGCCTAGTACCTCCCTCTTCCCTGTATTCATCTAAAATTTGTTTATCAGTTGTGATTACTGACATACAAAACACACAAATCCGAGCTCCTCATCAGCCCAGGCCAGAAATAAAACTCTAGGATGGGAAACACAAAAAAGTAATTCTACAAGCTCAATTCTCCTTATGTACAATTCAGAACTGATATAAGGAACATCTAATGTTTCTCCTTCCTATAGCTTAGGGCGATGTAATACATGGTATATATTAAGCTCCTTTCTTTACTCAAGTGCTTAAAAAGTTACCATTTATTGAGAGCTTAGGGTATATCAGGCAATGTTCTAAGCCCATAACATGTAAGATCTCAGTAAACATTAAAAATGCTACAAGATAGATATAATTAATCCTGGTTTTACATTTTAAGAAAGTCAAGGCTCAAATAAATGTTTTCTCAGGGTCACTTAACTAGTAGGTAGGTTTTAACCATTAAGATGGTTCATCATTTTCATTTTACAGTTTAGAAAGGAAACTTGCTAGCAGAGCAGTGATTTTTTTTATTGAGCCCACAATGCTAATAAATGACAGACCACAATCCCTGGACTTGAAGACCGGATTCCAAGCCTAGAACTCTCCAGTGAAAAATAAAGATCAGGGTCTCTAGATAAAGAAATAAAGCTGCCAAGTGTGCATTTATGAGACCCAGGGATATTTTAATGAAATTCTCAATTTTTTCTTCTTCCTAAGTTTAATTTTATTTGGACTTACATTTAAATTATTTAAAATCCTTTTCATTTCAGTTTCATTTTAAATTAATTTAAATTTCATTCAGTTTCTCCTGTTATCTTTCTACAGGCCTCATAAGTGGGTGGACTGAATTTTCATGAAATGCAAATTAACAATGGAGATTTTGTTCATTTTGTGTTTCAAATCTCAACCTACATCATCTTTAAATATAGGGAAGCAACAAGTAAAAATCATTGCTATTAAGATGAGAAAGGCCAGGTACAGTGGTGCACACCTGTAATCCTAGTGGTTCAGGACACTGAGGCAGGAGGATCTAAGTTCAAAGCCAGCCTCAGCAACAGCAAGCGCTAAGCAGCTCAGTGAGACCCTATCTCTAAATAAAATACAAATAGGGCTGGGGATGGGGCTTAGTGGTCGAGTGCCCCTGAGTTCAATTTGTGGTGTCCCCCCACCCTCAAAAAAAAAAAAAAGATGAAAAAGTGTAATTAATCTATTTTTAAGTTAACTACCTATCTGATTTAAAATGCATAATAAGAAAACATAAGCAATAATCTCTGTATCACTTGATCCCTTATTTTTTTTTTGTTCTTAAATCTTCCTTGACTTGAATTCTTGCCCTGTTTTCCCAAACAGTACTGTATTATTTTCTGCAACTCTTCCTTCTATTTTGTATTCCTCCGTAGGCACTGCATCTATCTCTGTAGGTAAATTCAAATTATTTTTGATACCACTGTAGTATAAACAAGCAAGACTACATATCTGACAAATAAATGGGGTATAAATAAAAGAAAGAAGGTACTTCATGGCTTAAGAAATTAAGAGCAGGAAAAGAGGGCTGAATTTTTTTTTCCTTTGATAACCTTCATGACCACTATTCTTAATTCTATTATGGTACCTGAACAAATCATAGCCCCCTAATGACAAGATTATTCAGAGAATATCATCTCCACAGAATTAATGAGGCAAACTGAGACAACCTGGCAACTGGAAACTACTAAATTCTCCTATGATCAATAAGAAATTGACTTGTCTGCCTTGAAGCTGCTCTAAGCAAAGTGAGTCCAGGTATAATACAGTAATAACATCTTTCAACAAAACAAACTCCACATCAGGGGAGAAGATGATCTTTGCAGCTTGCTCAGAACTGAATGGGAACAAAGTCTTTGCAGTGGAAATGGCTCTTACCTTCCGAAAGCATTTAGAAGAGCAACTATTTCCTGCCGAGTGAGCTGGAAGCCTTTGGATGGACTGTTCTCTGGAAGCTTCTGGATTTCTTTTTCAGAGAATAGTATCTTCAAGGCAGTTCCTAAACCCTGAGTCTAAAGAAAACATTGATGAACTGACAATTAACTTTATATAATAAGAACTACTATAAAGATTTAATGGGGCTGGGGATGTGGCTCAAGAGGTATTGCGCTCGCCTGGCATGCACGGGGCGCTGGGTTTGATCCTCAGCACCACATAAAAATAAAAATAAAATAAAGATGTGTTCACTAAAAACTAAAAAATATTTAAAAATTCTCTCTCTCTCAAAAAAAAAAAAGATTTAAAGGAATACTTAAGCCATTGTGATGACAAGAAACTCACATGGACTGAGCTTTACACCAAAATATTAAACTAGGCACAACATAGTGCCTCCTGGCAGGTTATGAATGAGATAACCTTAGCTAATAAACTAATTCAGTTTAAGGAAAACTGAACTGTTTTAAGACTTGTAAATGCCTATTTTATAACCTTGAAAATATCACATCAGAACTACAGTGTTTGATTTATAACCTTGAAAGCACTTATTTATTTATTTATTTATTTAGAGCAAGCTGTGCTGGATGTAGAACCTAGGGCCTCAGGCATGCTAGGCAAGCACTCTACCATTGAACTCGGCTTCCAATCCCAATGAAAGCTTTTTTTTTTCTTTTCTTTTTAAAAAAAACAACCCAGGCAATTCAAACCTTAGAGATTATTAGTGATAAGTATACTCATTAATTTCTCAATTGTCAGCACCAGAGGAAAAGATAATTTTTATTTTAGTGTAGTCTCCATTAAAATAACTGCCTCTTGATTTTTTGTAACTTATTATCCTCTTTTAAAGAAAATAAAACATCAAACAATCCCTTTTCATTGTTCAGGGTAACAGACCTACCTAGCAGAGCTTTCATATTTTGTCTTTAGGTGGTCTCTTGTGACTACTGAAATAAATTCAATGACAAAATTGGATATTTAACTTTTATATAATTATAATTTATCTTTTGTGTAAACATATATAACTCTATTCACAATCACCAACTTTAGAAATGAACCCAACATTGTATCAAAAGATACAGATACAATAAAATTAAAATCATTAACACAGACTACAAAAAACATCCTTATACAAACATGTGCATGTAACACAGTTTAATGATATTTTTCATAAATAAAACAAAAACTGGGGCTGGGGTTGTGGCTCAGTGGCAGAGTGCTTGCCTAGCATGTGTGAGGCACTGGGTTCAATCCTAACCACTACATTAAAAAATAAATAAAGTTATTTAAAAAATAAAAATATAAACAAAACTGCACTTTGGATCTGCCTATTTCTAAACTCTAATGCAATAAACAATGAGGACATTCTAATAAAAATTTTGAACTCAGTGGAAAATTTTAATTTCCAAAGAAAAGACATTACACATACCTGTAATTTTCCCCATAATCTGCATTTGTCACATCCAACACAGTCCATAATACGGGAAATATTCTTGAAATGTAACCGGAATTCTTCCTATCATGCAAAAAATATTTTCAGTCTAACTAAGCTTTTAAAATCAAATTAACTACAAAAAGGCAGAGAACTAGAGAATAAAAGGATCTAGATGAGCAAGATTAAAAGACAACAGCAAACAGCTCCCCACCAGCTCCCCCATTCAATAATTGTTTTTTTTTTTTTTTACCTTTAATGACTTGGCCCCTTTTTTGTTGCCTGCAAACATGGATTTCTCATCGAAGTGCATGGGAAATGACCTGATGAAACGACAATATTATAATTAATAAGTTACAGATGAAAAACTCAGGCATCTTATATTAGAGTTTTGGTAGACTTTTCTTCCCTGTAAGTATTTAAAATTCATATTTCTTATAACACAGGAAGGTGACAAAGAATTCACATATATACTCTTTAATAAAGACAAAGCTTTAAAATTTTAAGATTAATATTTTAAAGAAATTACATGACAAAATATCTAAAAAATGAAAATCAATCTGTGAAAAATATACAATACTCTCTTAAAAAACATAATAATTTAAGTACTTCTTGATCTAACTTCTCCATGCTCATATTAACCAGTAAAATTAAGTTTGATAGACTAAGCATGATACCATTCAAGTTTAAATATCAGGACAAACATAAAATTGGTAGAAAGAACGTTAAATTCTGGTACTACATAAAATCCTAAGTCATATTTTAAAATATAGCCTTCTCTCGAATTATAATACATTCCGCTCTCGTGTATTTAAAAAAATAAAATTAAAAAATATTTTATACAAAGATATGAAAAATTGTGCTCTGTATGTGTAATAAGAATTGTAATACATTCTGCTGCCGTGTATTTAAAAAGATAAAATCAATTTAAAAAAATAAAATATAGCCTGTTCTCAAGTATAGAACTTTCTGCAACAAAGCTTTATAGATGCTTACATTTAGCATTTTTAGAAATAATTTTAAATGCTACCATTCCATTGATCATTTATTTGCCTTCTCAGTTCTGATTTCTTTTCCTAACTTTTAGTAGTCAGTTTTTATTGCCATTCAAGAACCACCTCATCTGAACAGAGTTCAGGATTCTTACTTGGTATCTTGAAATATACTCAGTAGAAGGCTTTTGGTGTCGGCATCATCTTCTACATTTCCAGTGTAAAGATCAACAATTGAACGCTCAAAATAGGGGGCCACCTTTGACAAAGCTCGAAGCTCGATCAAGTATAAAAAGTACAGATTTTTCAGCCTTCTTGGACCTTCTCCCTTTGTTTCCACAGGGTCAAAGCGGCGTTTAAATTCTTTGATATTATGTCCCCAGCTAGGTTTACCCCAGGTTTCTAGAGAGAGAGAAATACATTATGTTCTTTTAGTAAAGAGGATGTTTCATTCTAAAGAATATGTACTTCCTCCAATAACCTTTACACTAATAGAAGGCAAAATCTCCACTTAAAAATCTAATTACCTTCCAAAAGATAATTCGCACATAGATGTAAATTGATACTGGCATGAAGTCCTGATATAAGTTTATAGAAGACTCTCTTCTCCAGACACAAACCTATTCAGAAAAATATTGAAAAAGAAATCATGCCCATTTAGATAAGAGATTGGATCAATGAGATTCAGTATATGGACTTTAAAATTTTGGGGTTTTTTTTTTTAGTTATGACAGTAGAATGTATTTTGACATATTATAGATACAGGGAGTATAGCTTCCCATTCTTGTGGTTGTACATGCTGGTCATGTATTCATATATGAACATAGGAAAGTTATGTACGATTCATTCTACTATCTTTCCTATTTCCATCCCCCCTTCCTTCCTCTTTGTCTAATGCAATTAACTTCTATTCTCCCCACCCCCTTACTGTGTATATCACATATCAGAGAGAACATTTGGCCTTTAGTTGTTTGGGATTGGCTTATTTCACTTAACATGATAGTCTCCAGTTCCAGCCATTTACCAGCAAATGCCATAATTCCATTCTTCTTTATGGCTAATATTCCATTGTGTATATATATTCTCCATTTTCTTTATTGAGGAGTAGCTAGGTTGGTTCCATAGCTTAGCTATTACGAATTGAGCTGCTATAAACATTGATGTGGCTACATCACTGTAGTATGCTGATTTAAAGTCCCTTGGATATATGCCAAGGAGTGGGATAACAGGGTCAAATGGTGGTTCCATTTACATGGACTTAAAGATTCAAGGACATTAAAAATAGAGAATTAATACATAAACAATTAGATTCACATTCTCTTACTGGAAGACAATATAGATTCTGGCTTTTGAATAAACTGACTTATGATGAAAACTTAATGCAGAGTAAGATAAAAGGCCCAGGCTCCCGCAGGTGCACACTCTCAGGGTGCGACTGGCAAGCTCCCAGAAGGCAACAGCATTGGCTTTCTATGACTAAGGCCAAGAATTTACTGAGCACACATCATGATGAAGTAATACTCCTTGTAAAAAAAAAAAAAAAAATTAAAAATATATAAAAACAGAGAATAACAAGTTTTAAGAATCCAGTAGATGCAGAGCAACTAGCCTTTTCCCTTTTTCACTACCCAATAGGGTTTGTTGTTTTATTTTGTTTTTAAATACCTTCTCCATGGGGGAAATGAGTTTCAATATTGGAAAGTAAGGTATAGTCTCATTTTATAGACTGGGCAAATTTTTCTCAGTGTAAGAATATCTATGTGGGTTACTTTGCATCTTGTCAAGATCTTTCAGATCATTAATTTACTCTTTGTGCCCTATCACAGAGGAAGCAGCCTCAAACAGGAAAAAAATTCTTTTCAGATCTCATTCTCTAATTCAGAATTCTTGCTAGAATACTTAAATTGTCATGGACAGAAACCAAAAAGTACAAAACTAAGTTCTACTATATAGCTCTCTCCTAAAAATAAAGACAGTTTTGAATGTTATAATAACAAGGGATACAAACTATGAATAGATTTAATAAAACACACTATGAATAGATTTAACATAGCATGAAAATTTTCATCAAATCTGTTATCAAGTAGCAAAATGATCAAAATGTTGGTTCACTTCACACCAACAGGTTGCTTGCTGTCTCTCCCTCTGGAGAGAGCCTGCTTCTCCTGCATATTCTGCATATTCCTCATTTCACCCTAAAAGCACCTCTTTTGAGACTGCCACCCCCTTCTCCCTTAAATATGTACCTACTTTCCTAAATAAACCTCTGTCTATACCTTTGGCCAGGGGTGGGCGGGGAGAACATTTTTCTATCAGTAACATTTTATATTTCATTATAGAATATAAAGGAATGCTTAAACATTTAATACACTGGGATCTATAATGCTTTATCTTAATTTTAACTAGAGAAATCTGGACTATATTAACACGGGCAAACATGTTTAGAACCTTCTGGATTCAATATGTCTCCCCTAATTTTACACATAAAAAGTACTTCCTTCTAAGGTGAATGCCTCTATTTAAAAACAGATTTGCTTACTAGTTACTAGAAAAATAGTTTGATTGAGCACTACATACAAAATGAATAAGACTAGGGAACAGTTATGGAAACCTAATGATAGTATCTGGCCTGTGTATTCACACATTGGCTTTTGGCTGACCAATATCCTCAAACTTTTCATATAATTTTATCCCCAAATATACAACCTAAAAATATGTGCTAATTTCTTTTAAACACTGTCAAAATTTGTTGTCTAGGTAATAAAATCTTAAAACTTACAAAAACATATTAAATATTTCTTTGTATAAAAAGCCAATAAATTTAAAAAACAGACATTAAGTTTACCTTCTAGCCATGTATAGAATGATTCTCCTAGACACAGAGAGAGAGAGAATCAGATTAAAATATTTTAAATGTTCGTTTATAAATTAGAATGAATTAGGTCTATAAAATACTTATTATGAGAAATTAAACAGTTATCTCTAAAAATATCTGATTTGGGTGAAATGGAAAACAGGCATACGATTCTATAAAATAAAGCCCCCAAATAATTTAAGTAACTCTGGAGAATGTTTTTTAAAAACATATTTTTAGTTGTAAATAGATTCCTTTATTTTGTTTATTGTTATGTGGTGCCAAGAATTGAACCAGGGCCGCATGTGGCATGTGTGCTAGCCAAGCACTCTACCACTGTGCTACCCCAACCCTTGGAGAATGTTCATATAAATGATATTTTGATCATTAAAAATGTTTTTAAAAAACATTTCAGTCTCAATATTAAGTAAATCCTAATTCTTTGAAGCTTTGAATATCCAAAAGCATGAGGATAAGTTTGCTTTTAATGAAAAAAAAACCACAGTACTTTTTATAAATTCCAGAAAAAATAGTGAATACAAAAATCAAATTATTATTTACTTCATTTTCCTTTTGCCAATAAAGCTAGATATATTTCCTCAATTATCTAAGATTAAGTTTCAAAGGATAATTTTTAAAACCTTTAATTTTCAATAAAATTCTTCAGAAAAGCAAATGAACAGACTAGAAAGGAGCTTAACTAATTTCTGTATTAATGTCATAATATCTATTTCTGTAGTTCAGAAGAATAGCAAAGCACACAAAAATTCAGATAGTAGGAGTAAGTTCAAAAGATCTACTGTACAACATGATGACTACAGTTAATATCAATGTATTATATTCTTGAAAACTGCTGCAAAAAGATTTTAAGTGTTGCCATTAAAAAAAATAAGTTAGGGGCTGGGGATATAGCTCATCTGGTAGAGTACTTGCCTCTCATGCACAAGGCGCTAGAATCAATTCCAGAACCACCCCCCAACACACACACACAAAAGGTGAGGAAATACATATAATAATTTGTTTTAGCCATTCTACAATGCATACACTTCAAAACATCATGCTCGACATATAAGTATATATAATTTTTGTCAACTAAAAAAGAATTATTCCTGGATCAATTTTGTTCTTGGTAGGAAAAAAAAAAAGATGTCAGTCAAGAAGGATAGAATTTTTATTATACCTCCTAAATTCCTATATTTTTAATTGAGAAAAGAGTGACAGAAACCCAATATATAGAGAAGCTGGGTAAAGAGTCTAGGAGATTAATTCCATGATGGGACTTCCTTTGTCTCCTAAGTTTTAATACTTTACAAACTACACAAACATCTCTCTAGAAAGTCATTCATTCAACTTAACTTACCAAGGATCATTATTATCTCAACTGTTTATTCAAAAAATCTCAACTCTACCTGATAAATCTGAGTCTTCTAGTTTGGCCTCTATCCAGCACTTCAAAGGACCAATAACATAGTCTTTCCCACTGCTAACAGGATGGTCTTATTGTCTCCCAACAGGCTTTTTGACTTTTCCTTGCTCATCTTGTAGGCTCATGCTATTTCCTCCAAGTTTGTATTGTCCAAATCTGGCCCAAATCTGTTCCTTTACTTAAAATTCATCTCAAAAGCCACTACCTCCAGTTGGCTTTCCCGTATCACTCCAGCGGCATATGACTTGCTTTACCTGAGGAGCTGCATCACCTCCAGTTTATAGCGGTAACCACACACATCTCCTCTTAGCTTCATTATAAAGCAGAGTGCTTATCATTCTTCCTATGCATGTCAGCTCCTGAGGGAAGGCCCAGTGTTCTGCCTATCTCCTATCCTACCCAGTGCACTGACTTTGATCACAGATAAGGAAAATTCAACTGAAGTCACTGCCTAAAAGAATTGATGTTATAAAGTTTAAAGTCAGGAAGAAAATAAAGAGGTAACATTATAGGTAAAACTATGTTAACTGTACTACATTTCCTCAGAATATATTCAAATAGATTTTAATAACCAGAAAATAGGAAACTTAGAATGTGAAGCCGATTTCTATATTACACACTTAGATAAAGGGTCTTTATATATTTTTTAACACAGAATAACTTTATTTTTAAAAATCTTGTTTTCTGTCAGTCACTGATAGCTATTTTCTGAAGAAAAAAAAAAGAAGGATCAACATTTTCTCTTGAATCAAAAGAGGAAAAAATCCAATTTTGATAATTTCTTCTATACTTGGAGTCAACATAAAACACAAGAGTTTCAACTCACCATCATCTTCACCTAAAAGAGAAAATTTAAAAATTTAGAAAATGCCTTCATTTTCAAGTTCTATATAGTTCAGGTTCCAAAATGAATCCTTTTTAATATAGGATTAAAACTTATTGTTAAAGTATTCCTTATATCATGAACCTTGGTCAGTGTTTAGTCATCCTGAAATATGGCATAATAAGAATATATAGGCTAAAGATTTCCATGTTTTATGCAAAAAATAAGACATCAGAAAGTGACTAAAACAACCATAAAGAACCCTAATTTCAGTAATTAGCAAGGGTATACAGTAGCTTCTCTCCCATTACTGCTAACACAGCCCTTCACAGGGAGGGCCTGCCCCTGGGCCACAAGAGGTGGGAAAAGGCGAGGAGGCTGGGCTCTTGGCTCCACAGATCACTTCTGCCAGCTTCATTTGAGGTTCTCTGATGGACCACTTTGTGTTTTGGAGGGAAATAAATGTTCTGGTGCTCAAAAACTTTTAGAAAAATAGCTATAGAGGCCTAGCTATTACAACTCAGGAATTATGCAGAGAAATAGAGCTGAGAAGGCTGAAGAGCTCTCTACTAGCATTTCAGTGATGACGGCTTGCAAGCAGATCAGCAAGAGCTGTGGAACTACTTTAGGAAAGCTGTGACAGCTGGAGCCCAGCCTCTCCTCTGGCCTAGCTTTCTTTTTCTTCTTTCATACTTTTTTCCTTCCTTTCTCCTCTTCTTTCACTATCTTTTCTACATAACAATTTCGTTCCTCTCTTCTTTTCTAGCAGTTTCATGTCTGATTTATCATAACATGGACATGAGTTTCTTAGTACCTGATGTTTTTTTTTTTTTAATATTTATTTTTTAGGTGTAGATGGATACAACAAAATGTCTTTATTTTTATGTGGCACTGAGGATCGAACCTGGGTCCCACCTGTGCTAGGGGAATGCTCTACCGCTGAGCCACAATCCTAGCCCAGTACTCGGTGGTTTTAAGTCAATGATTGTATTTTCTGCTTTAAATTTAGAAAAGGTAACAATGGAAAAGGTTGGAAGAATTCCTTCCAAACTCTACTGTGAATCAGAAAGCAAGGGAGGAAGCTTTCTATTTCACTTTATATAACTTCCGTTGCTTCAATTTTTATAAAATTTTGTATAATTAATGAGGCTGGGGCTGGGGCTCAGCGGTAGATCGTTCGCCTAGCACACGTGAGGCCCTGGGTTCGATCCTCAGCATCACATAAAAATAAGTGAAATAAAGATGATATTGTGTACAACTAAAAAATAAATATAAAAAAACTAGGGGGGCTGGGGATGTGGCTCAAGCGGCAGCGCTCTTGCCTGGCATGCGTGCAGCCCGGCTTCGATCCTCAGCACCACATACAAAAACAAAAATGTTGTGTCTGCTGAAAACTAAAAAATAAATATTAAAACTCCCTCCCTCTCCCTCTCTCTCTCTCTCTTAAAAAAAAAAAAATTGGGGGATGGGGATGTGGCTCAAGCAGTAGCGCGCTCACCTGGCACGCGTGGGGCGCTAGGTTCAATTCTCAACACCATATAAAAATAAAAATATAAAGATATTGTGTCCACCTAAAACTAAAAAAAAATAAATATTAAAAAAATTTGTATAATTAAAACATTTAGGTTTGAAGAGAAAAGTTCTAAGGTGAAAGCAGTAAAAGGGTAAGAAGCCATGGCAGCCTTTTTAAAGGTCCAATTCCCTTCTCCAGGCAGTTCAGAATGAATTTGGAGAACATTTCCCACATTTTGACAGTGACCATCTATAAGAAGCCTATGCATTCATTTCTTCCAAGTCTATCTGGCCCTGAGAAAGGCCAAAGATACAAATCTAGACCAGGAAATTCAATTTCTTAATCCTGGTCTAAAGAAAACATTGAACTGGCAGGTCAATAAGAGGGTTGTTCCCAGGGTTTGGTTTTTCAGTGAGGACAAAATGAGCACATCCCAGCTGATTTCAGCAATGCTGTAGGTCAAAGTATCACTCCAGCCATACATCACCTAAAGCTTTTCTAACAGTCACATTTTTCAAAGTAAAAAGTGCACATGGCATTGCACTGATGTTACCTACTAAAACAAACTACCAAGACAACTCTGTTTAGTGGTAACAGTATCTTAAACTCTCTTACATTTGAATGAATTAAAAGTAAATAAAATTTACAACTTAGTTTCACACTGGCCACATTTTAAATGGTCCATGTAGCAACAGACCCTTACAGGACAATGAGGTATAGAGCTCTACTGAGTGCAGTCTGAGTGCCTCAACTCCTTCTCTTCCTGTTCAAAATATGCTGGGGGGTGAGCACTCCAGGCAGTGCATGGGAGCTTATCCAGACTTTGTGTCCCACTGATGCCTAGAGCAGCAGAGCCTATTGTTCACTAACCAGGCTGTGAGGGAATCTGCACACACACAGGTTTCAGAAGCACTGTGATGAGCCACTGGTTTTGAAACTGAGCTGCACACTGGAACCATCTGCAGAATTTAAAAAACATGGATGTCTAGGTCCTTCACTGCTACAGGGCATTCAGATTTTTAAAAGTTTCCCAGGAAAGCGCTGGTGAATGTGGATTATTCACATATTCTAATTTATTCTATGTAAAGTTCCTATTTTAGGGCTGGCACATAGCAGGCACTCAAAAAATGATAACTATAGAAGATGTATAGGAATTTTAAGACTTACCTACAAAATAATCTCATATTTTGTTAATCATTCAAATTAAAACAATATAAAATATAAAAATATAAACAATTTTCAAAAGCATGAAAATGTATAAAAACCCACCTCGACTTGGGGCCAGAGGATTTAAAGGACGATAAACAGATCTAGGCCTAAAAAAAGAACACAAAACCCAAAACATAAAATGGTTTGACTTTTATACATAATCTTTTCAGAACAGAAATAAATATCTCCTCTTCCCCACCCCTCCCTGTTACTTGAAACAGTTCTCTTCATAGATGCTGTTCCACACTCTCCACGCCGAGGACCCCTTATAGCCGGTGTAACGCTCTGGGTTCAGCAACAGATCTACATACTGAGCAGCAGGAGATCTCTCATCTGAACAAGAGATGATTCAAAAAGTCATCCATGTCTCACTATATGCCTAGAATTTGGCATTATAATGCAAACAGAGCTACCCAAAAGCTGGGAAAATGCTGTTTTTCAAGTCACTGCCAACTTACGTGGTAGAGTGGTTCACACACTTGTGACTGTACTTGACCCAGCATTTGTAAAACTTGAACAAATTATCTGAAACAAAAAAGCAACTTTTCCCTTTCCTTTGGATACTCAATGCTCTTAAGAAAATGAACATCCCTCATCTTATTAGTTTTAGCCACCTAGGAATGAACAGATCTAACAGAACCATAACTAGTTCTATTGTCTTATATGATTTCTTCTCTAAATATATACCCAACTACCATGGGCTTGGAAACTGATTTTTTAAGACATTTTATATTTAAAATACAGATTTCCTTGAGTGCAATGGCACATGGCCTATAATCCTGGCTATTTGGGAGGCTGAGGCAGAAGAACCACAAATTCAAGGCCAACCTTGGCAACTTAGTGAAACCCTGTCACAAAAACAGAAAATTAATAAAGGCTGGGGACTGAACTCAATGGCAGAGCATTACTGGTTTCAACTCTTAATGCCATTAAAAAAAAAAAGTCGCTGCTACTCTCTCTCTCTTCATGGGTCTTAAAAAGCACCTGGCTCAATACTTTGTGATTCAAATCTGATTATTCATAGAGCAATACTCTAGTTTTTAAAAATCCTCATTTTACTAGTGTTAATATATTGTGGTTTTTCACTCTCAAAATAGTACATGTAGGAGCAATTTTCAAAAATTTGTCGAACACGTAAAATTGACTATTTTCCACAATGAAACCCAAATAAGGATTTCCTAAATCTCTACTATTTGGACATTTTAACAGAGATTAAAAAGAAAAACATTCTTAATTACTAAGGCTCACATTCCCAGTCAAAAAAGGAAACATATAAATTCATACCTAAAAAAAACTTCTGACCATAAAATTATTGTAACTATGCTCCACAAGTCTCACCTACATTGGCATAAATGTATTTCTCACTACCTTTTGGTGGCATGAGATTAAATAAACAGTACACAGACTTATGGCTTATAATGGGGGCCAAATGTGATCACTAATGTCGCTCTTCCTTTCCTTATCTAACAGTATACTTTCCTATCAATAAACAAAACTCACTGGATATTTGATGACTACGATTGGGAATAAAGAGAAACTGGTACCTTGATCCATGTCTTCCAAGAATTATCAGCTATTTTTATGATACGGAAAAAATACAAAAGTACCTGCAAATTGCCATTATTAGATGGTATATGTCTAACAAAGAAATGGAAAAAAACTTTACAAAATATAAGATATTGGCTCTATTTCTAGCTCTAGAATTATAGATATTCCACTATATAAATAAAAGTACACGAAACAGTTAACTTACATTGGGTCAAAAAGTGGCCTACAGAGGACCTCTGCCCCCAGTACTATGTCCTCCCTCAAGAAAATTTTCTCTTCTTCCTCCCTCTACAAAGCTGTTCATTGTATATGTCAACTATTACCTAGGGATTCAATGACTTTCACTGAATCAAGATTTCTAATTATGGGAATTCATCAAATTGAGCTATTGTCTTATTCTTCCTCCTTAAGAATACCATTTTTCTCAAATGAATTTGCCTTTCACTGCCCTAATTTAATATTAATGCTTTTAAGGTCATGCCACATTTTCTAGTGTGTCAGATATTCAGCCCTGTCCTGTCACCCACCAATCTCTTAAAACATTATATTAACATAGAATAATCAATTTAGGATTCAGGTTTTTTGCTTATCACATATTTAAAATATTATGTTATGAACTCCTAATTAAGCCTACAGCCCTCCATCATCAACCCTATCCCAGACTGCTACTAACTATCTAAAACAAGGTCTACACAGTAGAGGAGAATCTAAGTTTATAAAGCTGTCAAGTCATTTATCTTCATATTTTAAAACTACTATTCTAAACAGTACTTTAAATGTATTAGTAAACAGGGGGAAAATGAAAATAAAAACCTATCATGCCATTTAGGTGATTTATGAACCAATTACTTCGTTCAACAAATATTTATTAAGCACCTACCAGTCAAGGCACTATTCTAGGCACTAATACAGTAGAGAGCCAGCAAGAGAAAGCCCTTTGCCCTTGAGCAGCTCGCAATCTAACTGAAGAGGACCGTGAACTCACAGCCTAAATAAAAGACCACGTATCATCAGGTGGTTGTCAGTGCGGGGGATGGGTGGATGGAAACCAGAAGTGCAAAGAGTCTGTGAATGACCCTGGTTACTATTCTGTATAGACATGAGAGAAGCCTTCTTTGACATTTGAGCAGAAACATGAACCAGAGAGAAGTCAAGCCATGAATAAAGACAATAGCAAAAAATAAGAATAGGATAGGAAGGGCAGCTTGCCTTAGTGACTATTAAACTGCCAAATTATTAAAAACTATTTGATCTTTAGAGATCATCTTCCATTCAAACAGAGATAACACCAACAACAAAACAGCAAGAAATAGAAACATGGATATTTTCCCTAATAAACTGGGGTTAATTTTCTTCAAGTTTAATTTTAATCTACTGAATTTTGGTAACAGGAATAACTAAACAATGATTCTAAAAGCTTCACTGACTATAATAAAAAATTATCTATAAATCGCTGGGAAACAGATGAACATTACTATGCAAAAGAGTAGCAGCAACCAAATTAGTAAGTAGCATGGTTTTATGTACATAAGAATTACATAAAATATAAAAATTCCTATTTAAAATATGTAATTCTAAAAATCTTAAAGAGTGATTTTATTTTATTTAAATTCTTATAGGATATCTCTTTTATTTCAGCAATTTAAGAAAGTAATATTTTTAAAAATAGTTAACATGTATTTAATGGGAAATGCAGCAATCAACTTATTTATACAAATAATGCTTGCAACTAAATAGTATTTTATGAAATACCCAATTTACTATAAAATGTATATATTCACAGAAATGACTAATCAGAAAACCTATTAAATAACCACGATTAAATTATTTTATTTTAATCAAACAGGTAAAATAATAAATTGGAAAGAAGTGACCACAGTGTTAAACACCAAACTCAATTAGAACAAAAGACTAAATAAGTGTAAGCAGTGATAAGAGTTCTTAATATAGATACAATGTCTTGCTAACAAAACCTGCCAATTCTAAATATAATGGAGAGTATTTCCTTAATTGCATATATGTATATACATACAAATGAGCAAAGAAATCTTGCAAATATTTTTAATTTCTTTGCTGAAATTTATAAGCAATGATAACATTCCATCTTCCATTATTCTTCTCAATTCACCATCCTATAGTAGAAGCCCACTATAATATACTTCACAGATTAATAGCACAATTAATAGAATAGCACAATTCTACCTGTGAACCCTTTCAAACATTTATAAATTGGTATGATTGCTTTAGATCCTTGAAGACTTCAGAAAACTTCTATCCATTTCCAACTGTGCATGCTTGAACCCAATTCTTCCCTGCCACCAAAAATTTAACAATATGAAAATAAAAGGTTGAAAAGAGGCCAAATCAATGGTTTCAGACAACACAGCAGCTCTATGGAAATATCCTATAGATCAAAAGTTTTGAGTAACAGCAATTACCTTCTATTAAGGAAGTGGTAGTTGCCCTGCAAAATAGTATTCTGTGTATTTTTTCTTGGAAAGAGACACTGCTGTGGAGAAGTCCAATTATCATCCTCCCAATATTGAAGAACATCTTTATATGAGTTTGTTGAAACTTCCAGAAAATTCCAGTGTAAACATTTTATAATATGTTCACATATTATAACCAAGTGTCCTCAAATGAAGATGCATAAGACATGGTATGTTGTAGTGGAGAGAACACAGGTTTTGAATTCAGGACTAAATTCTGCCTCAGCCTCTTGCTAGTGTGATTTGGAGCAAGTTCTTTAGTCTTTCTGACACTCAGTTTTCTCAGACATAAAATTATATATACCCATTAAGCTAGCTGTAAAGACAAAAGTATTTAATGTGCTTAACACCAGGAACACAGGTTCTCCATATATGTTGTTATAAATAAGACCTACATAGCAAAATCCAGTGTTAAGCTGTAATTCAAATTATATTTTTATTTAAATGTCTTACTAAAAAGGATAAAGTTAAGATAATCTAATTACAACAATTTTTTTATTACCATCAAGTTCACAAAAGTGATCCTGTGAATCATCATATCTTGCCCAGTCAATGAAAGCTTCTTTGCTTTGATTACTACAGGAAAGAGGAATAAAAAGAAAAATCTTTCAACTTGGAATTAAAAATTCTAACAATGTATTCAAGTGTAATTAAAATAATAGTCTAAGGTCATTTTTTATTAGATGAATCACAAATTCCATTATTAGTGGATACATGAATAAAAACAAGTCATAGGAAAAACACAGATATAGTAATTTCCACAAGTGATTTATATTTCTTAACTATATTAAAATGATTATTTTCTCTATCTCCAAAACAATTTTGAGGCAGGCACTGTACTGCATGTCCGTAATCACAGCCACTCAGGAAGCAGAGGCAGGAAGATCCAAGTTCAAGGCCATCCTGGACAACTTACTAAGAATCTGTCTTAAAATTTAAAAAAGGGCTGGGGATGTAGCTCAGTGGTAGAGTATCCCTGGGTTCAATCCCCAGTACCATTAAAATATTAATAATTTGACAAAAAATTAATTTATAAATACATAAAACTTATAAACACAAAATCAAACTGGCTTTTTCTTTTTTTTTTTAATTTTTTTTTATTGGTTGTTCACAACATTACAAAGCTCTTGACATATCATATTTCATACATTAGATTGAAGTGGGTTATGAACTCCCAATTTTACCCCAAATGAAGATTGCAGAATCACGTCGGTTATACATCCACAATTTTACATAATGCCCAATTAGTAATTGTTATATTCTGCTACCTTTCCTATCCCCTACTATCCCCCCTCCCCTCCCCTCCCTTCTTCTCTCTCTACCCCATCTACTGTAATTCATTACTCTCCTCAAACTGGCTTTTTCAAATGACTTAGAAATTATAGTAATGTTTGTATTTCCTTAAGTAGGAATTACATTAACTTTCAGAATTTTAAAAATTGAAATTGCTTTCTATATTGATAGAATCCAAAATACCAAGAACAGCATGTCTACAATCTCTCAATCTAATGTACCATCATTAGTTACACCAAAGTCACTTTCATCATGGAGTTATTATTCATCTTACATTCTATCTCATCATTTAGCAAAATCTATGGCAAAGATTTCTAACTTGAAAAGGAACAACTGTATTAATTCGAACTCTGACCTACATCCATTTTTATCTATTTGCAGGCCTTCTGTCTTAAACACATGATGGCAAACATCTATCAGAGAAGCATCATGTTGCTTCCCTTCTTTATTCACTACACAAGTAGAGTACTACATTTAGGGATTATCTGATTTAATACTTTATGCCGTACTATCACAGCCAAGAATTTATTTTAAGAAACTGCTACATAACCACGAACAATGAAGTGTGTAAGGCTGGCTGCACTACATAGTTTTTCAATCAATTTAATGTAGGATATTTTTTCAATGGGAATAATTAATAAGTTAATGAAAACTTTTGTATCATAGTTGATTCAGTTGAAATATGACACCACAACAAGAATGCCTAAGATCTAAAAATGACATAACTATTGTTGTTTAATAAGATAAATCTTATGTTGAAAATAATAAGTCAATTCCTTTTTTCTGGTTAACAATATGACTGACTTGCAAAAACATTTTTCTTTGAGCACTATTATTTGATAAGGCTTTGCTAAGTACTTCAATCTAATACTTGCCTAAAGACATTTTAGTGGAAAAGAACTGAATATTTACCTAAAGCTAACAGAGCTCACCCAGTGTGATTTATACATGGGCTAGAAGGAACCAGAGGTCACCTATTTAAACTTTTCAAAAAGACAGTTTGGGGATGGATGCAAAGCTATTTACATAAGACTTTCTTGGATTTAACCCAATGTTTCCATAAAGATGCTGCTGTGAATTACAGTCTTCAATTGGGAAATGAGTAGTCAGAAAAGGCTCAGCGGTAGACCTCTTGCCTAGCATGTGCACTGCACTGGGTTTGATCCTCAGCACCATAAAAAAAAAAAATAATTAAATAAAGGTATTGTGTCCAACTGCACACACACACGCGCACGTGCACACACACGTATTTTTTTTAGAAAAGTAGCATGAGAAACCAGGAGATAAGAAGGGAAGGGAACAGATATAAACTGTCTTAATTGTGATGATATTTTATGTGTATATATGCATTTCAAATATGTGCACTGCATTATATGCCAATAATACCTCAAAATAAAGCCATTTAAGAATTATAGTTCCACATCTTCTCTAACAATTGATACTAAGAACTTTTAGGCACTGTTAGCAGTAATGTAACTTGATACAGCAATTTTGGAAAACCATTTGGCAGTACTTAATTTCATTCCTAGTAATATTCTCCCTAGAAATGCACACGTGCACTAAAATGTTTGTGAAATGTTCCCCTAGTGGAAAACATCCAGATAACAACAGTAGGGTGGAAATACTACACAATACTACATGTAGACAAAAAAATAAAACTTCCTATGCTCAAGAACATGAATCTCACAGTCATCCATAAAGCTCCTTTTTCATACTCCATACCCAATCCTTCAGCAAATACTGTCAGCCCTATCTTCAAATATGTCCAGAATCTGACCTTCCCATTGTTTCTACTGCTGTCAACTATCTAACCACCATAGGTCTTATCTGGATTACTACAATATCTCATAATCAGGCTTCTAAAGCATGGCACAGGGCTCCCTAAACACACTCTCACTCCTGTGCTCAAGATCCTTTGATCAGGCTGGGGATGTGGCTCAAGCAGTAGCGCGCTCGCCTGGCATGCGAGCCGCCGGGTTCGATCCTCAGCACCACATACAAACAAAGATATTGTGTTCGCCGAAAACTAAAAAATAAATATTAAAAAATTCTCTTTCTCTCTCTCTCTTAAAAAAAAAAAAAAGATCCTTTGAGCACTTTGCATTCCACTCCCATGAAAGCAATATTCATTACAAGTACCTTCCAGGCTCTACAAGATCTCCACCCACCCCACCTCCACCCTTTACATTTTTTGACCTTGTCTTGTACTACTTTGCCCTTGATCCCTGTAGAGCCAGCCACACCAGTATTCTTGTGTTTCCTCATAGTCTAGGCATGCCCTGCCACCAGTCTCTTAGGAACACTTCAGGTACAACCTGGGATGCACACTGCCAGGCAGCCATATGGTAACTTCAGCCTTCACCTTCTTCAATACTAAAATGTCCTGTTATCACTCAGGTTTTCCCCTGACCACCCAATTTCAAACAGTGCCACCCCCTTCACTCTGAACCCTCTACATTCTTCTTCCCTGTTTTACTTTTTTCCATAGCATTCAGTAATTTCTGTAGCCATTTCAGTAATCAAACATTACCAACTGTTTGCAAAAATGTGAACAATCTCTCTGCTCTGGAGGTTTGTTTATTTGAAATGAGTTATAAAGGCATTTATTATATTATCCCTTTTACTTTTCTATATTAATATTTTTAATTTAAATAAGATTACTAAATTTATTATGAGTCTTATCAATTATGTGCACAAATACAAACAATTGAAAGTTTAAAAGAATGTCTGTAATAATCTATTCCTAACAGATTACATTCAGTTATTTTACACTGCATAAGCTGGAACTATTTATAAATGATTTATATTAGTCTTCAAAAACAAATGTCTGCTTAGAGTAAATAATGAAGTCAGTAGAAAAAAAAATCTATGAAACTTATGGTAATAAATTATCATTCAAAATATAACATTCAAATTAAATATGTAGACTGAACTACTATTTATAAAAAAGTTTCAAAACCCATAAGCCCTCAGTAATCTAAAAATCTACTTTTTAATATATTTGCTATTTATGATACATCACAGAAATTTAAAAACAAAAAGGCCAAGAAAGAGGCAAAATTATTATGGAATTTAAGTTTATTATCAAATATTAGCTGAAAATTTAATGTTTAGCAAAAATGATTTTCCACAATCTCAAGAAAAAAGATTATTGATATTAAGCTAAACAAGAGAATATCTTTTAATATTAATAAGTTAAACTTGCCTTAATGTGTTGTTAATTGCTCCCAGTTTATTAGCTTGCTCACAATCTTGTAATTCTTTGGTATTGTTTGCCACTTTCAAGTACTGCAAGGAAGTTAACCATAAGTTTAAGAACAACTTTCTCTTGCTCAGCTTCCACTAGCAGAACAAACTGTCAATACAGATATACATTAAATACAGATACATCCTATTATCAAAATGCCTAACATATATAATAAATAGTAATAAAAATGAGGCACAAATTTCTACCTATAAAACAAGCAAGGATGAACATTTTAACAACTGGCATCAGTGCGTTGGTGATGACAAATCGGAAAACTCATTTGGGATAGAAATTTAATACAATCTAGAGTTATAAAAATGTATAAACTCTTAAAACTTTAGCAGTGTTATTAATGAGACCATATTTAAGGCAACTATTTAAAAACAAAAGGCAGGATCACCTTCCAGAATTATTTGTTACTGTCTTGTAATGTTGAGACAGGCATGGCCTATGGTCCAGCAATCCTACTTCTAAACCCAAACTAGAGGAACATTACCTATGTGCACAATGAAACAAAATACTAGTGCATCATTTTTTGCAATAGCAAAAACTGGAAACAAGTGAAATGTTGATGTATAGAGGACTTTTACTCCGTATAAGGTCATATAACTGACTACTATATAGTTATCAGAATGAATGAACAAGATCCACAGATATCAAAAGAGAAAAAAATCCAAAACCCTAAGAATAAGTAAAGGCTGGGTACTGTGGCACATGTCTATAATCCCAGCTACTTTGGAGGCTGAGGCAGCCTGGGCAACTTAGTGAGACACTTTCTAAAAAGAGCTGGGGAACACACAGTATAGAGATGAAGAGGCCCAAATTTGCTACCAAAAAAGGAGGGGAAAAAAAAGAGAGAGAGAGAGATAAGGAAAACACTGTGTTAACAATATAAACTAATAAAATGTTTTCAACCTGAAGAAATAAAGAAATAAATATCTAAATTAAAAAAAAATTTACACAAAATAATCTACATAATACTTGTGGATAAGAGCGTAACAAGAATATAAAACCACAGAAAAATGGTTTCTGGGGGGGGAGGAAACATGGAATTGAGGAGGTGTTGTGGGCTTTAATTGCCTTTATATGGTTTTATTATACATTTGAAACAAAGATATAAGAAAATGAGCACATACAATACATGGGCAAGAGTGCAAGAAGAAAATGGAGAGGATGCACAAGAGGAAGGCAGAAAGAGGGTATGATGATCTTCATTACACATGTCCAACAGTGAAAAACCAAAAGTAAACTGGTACCCAAAAATATAAATGGAAAAATTAATTATGGCATGCTCCTAAGAATAAAAAGGTAATCTTTAATAAGGGGCAGTTTAACAACATCTAAAAATGCACTCTGCTCAAAACAGCCTAATTATTTTCTTCATCCAATAGAATACTGAATCTAACAGGTAGACTAGTTGAAAGAGAAGATTAAAAGCATCCTGTGATAAAAACACTTGTTGAATAGGTGATCTGACACTAAATTACAGTTCAAAGTTCTTCTAAAAGTTCCACAGACAGACCAGAAATAACTTCAAAACAAGCTAGGAATATAGGACCTTTCTGCTTGCTGCAAGGATTAGAGACTTGGAATCCAGAGGCAAAACATCTCCAGGCCCAACTAACTATAAGATGGTTTTCTGCTGCAACAATTGTCAAGTATTATAAATGACAAGTGTTACTTTGTAAAGCAGAAATATTCAAGGAAGAAGTGACTCACCTTATTAGAAAGCCCGGCTTTAATTCCAACTGGAATTTTACTCTTAAAAGAACAACAACAACAATTTAGAAAGTGATTCAAAGCATTTTATCCTATGGGGAGCAAATACACATTCATTCAAAATGTTTTCATAATACTCTTGGGATAAAAGCAAAGAATTATACCTGTTTATAGACTAGTATGTCAAAGTGTCCAAAATTCAGCTCTAGTAATTTTTAATGCTATTTATTCTTTATAATTCACATAATTTTAAGGTAAAAAACTGACACTTTTCCATAAACTTTCCTAACTACAGAAAAGGAAGCTTTTAAATTTTTCAAAAATATTTCATATACTTTGCTCAACTTTAATTTCTGCTGAGATTTAAAATTTAGGCAATTATGGATTACAAGAAGACAAGAATCAGATTTCAAAGGCAACCCTAAGGTTTATCAATCTACATAATCTAGGATTTACCAATGGAAAAAATGTTAGGTCCAGCATTTTTTTCCACAAAGCTAATAATTCATGTTAGGCTTTAATAAATGAATTTATAAAGTATTTCCAAATAGAACAAAAATCATACCTGAAAGAAAACAATCCCAGATTGACCCTTTGATCAACTCAGGACTGAATTCTAAACTTGACTACTTATGGGCTAGCAAATAACTGCAAATTACCTATTAAAAATTGTTCACATTTCATAAATTTTAACAAAATATTCAGAACAAATATTTCCTGTCAGGATGAAGAATACAAATAATGATCATGATAAATTATTTTCTCTAATCAATGAGACTATGTAGTTAAAAATATTACTTGCTGCCAATATTTTATCACTTAAGTATTTTTTTCTAACACATCTATAGGGGGCAGGAGAGAAAATTATAAAACTCAAGTAAAATCTAGATAGTCACAGTTATAGGACTCTGAATTTTTATATTCTGAAATAAATATTAACTGGAAGCACCCTCTGACTACTGTATGTACTCCTATCAGTATAATTTGCTAAAAGTTAGCAGCTTTATAAAAGATTTGCTGGAGAACATAATGACTTAATCAAATTTTAGATACAGGTTATGCAGAAATTGCCATAAATAACAAAAACATCCCCAAAAAGAATTATTAAAAGCAATGGTAAATTAAAAAAAAACTACTAAAATCAACCATAAAACTTGGACTTGATAATTGCCACTAATTCAAATAACATGAAGCAGTCTGTAAACTACAAAGTAACCTTCACAATTAAATTAGATTTCAAATTCTAGAAAGCAAACTGCATCACAAGGTTGGGTACAATATAAAATGCCTAATAAATTTTTCCCCAAAGACAGACAAATACAAAAATCTTTACCTTACATGAAGAATCAATAAGAAGGTGAGTATCTCTGGAGAAGAGGAATGGGGATCTTTAAATGTCTATGTGTTTGATTTCCTATGTTTGGGGTTCTTCTATAATTTAACACTTTAATTTCTGTTATGGTTGTCCCCCAAAAGTTCATGTATATGACAATGATAGTAAGTTCAAAGGTGAAATAATTGGTTATGAGTTCCCTAACACAATCAGTGCCATTAATCCCCTAATATGGATTAACTGGGCTGTACCTATAAGTAGGTATAGAGTGTGGCTGGAGGAGGTGGGTCACCAGAGATATGCCTTTGCGGTTTATATTTTTTCCCCTAGTTAATGGAGCTCTCTCTCCACTTCCTGATTGCCATGTCTGAGCTGCTTTCCTCCTCCAAAACCTTTCCACCATGGTGTTGTGCCTCACCTCAGACCCAGAGCAACAGAGTACCTCTGAGACCATAAGCGTCAAACTAGAGCCATTGAAATCTCTAAAACCATGAGCACCAAACTTTTCCTTCTCTAAAATCCTTGTCAAGTCTTTCGGTCACAGCAGCAAAAAAGCTGACTAAACAGTTTATTATTATTAGAAACTTAAAAAAGGAGGATAATCCATGATAGACAGTGAATTGACTTGAAAAGCAAACAATTTAGAAATACATAATCTATATCAAAGCCAAATAACTTACAATTCACAACTCAGCAGTAAGAAAACAACTTCATTTAAAAATGGGCAAAGCAGGGCTGGATGTGGAGCTTAGTGACAGAGCACTTGCCTACCATATGTATAAACTTTTTTTTAACAGTTTTTGCTATAATTCAGTTTTATAGATTAGACATCAGTATTTTATTGATGTTAATTTTATGGTAAGAAACAGTTTCTTTTTTACCTTTTTACTGGTGCATTACAATTACACATAACATTGGGATTCATTGTTACATGTTTACACATGCACACAATATAATAGAATAATTTGGTCAATTTCATTCCCCAGCAACTTGCAGTGACTTGGGAGGCTGACTCAGGAGGAACACAAGTTCGAGGCAGGCCTTGGCAATTTAGCAAAGCATTGTCTCAAAAGTAAAAAAAAAAAAAGTTTCAAAAATAATTTTCCAGGTGAAGTGGTGCACACCTGTAATCCCAGGGACTCTGGAGGCTGAGGCAGGAGAACTGCAAGTTCGAAGCCAGCTAGCTTCAGCAAATTAGTGACACCCCCATCTCAAAATAAAAATGGTAGAGCACTTGCCTAGCATATACAAGGCAGTAAGTATGATCCTCAGCACCACATATAAATAAATAAAATAAAGGTTCATCAACAATTAAAATATATATATAAATAAATTAAAAAACAAAAAGGGCTGAAGATGTAGCTTAGTGGAAAGCATCCTTAGGTTAAATCTCTAGTAAAAAAAAAAAAAATTTTCCTTTTAGAATGGACATCAGTCCCATGCTTTTCTTTTTTACTATTTTTTTTTAATTTACCATCTTTTTAAAAATATATTTATTTTTTAGTTGTAGGTGGACATAATATCTTTATTTCATTTTTTATGTGGTGCTGAGGTTTTAACCCAGTGCCTTACATGTGCTAGGCGAGCACTCTACCACTGAGCCACAACCTCAACCCTTTCTTTTACTATTTTTAAGGACAAAAAAACTTGTTAAAGGCCAAATGAAAACACAATTCCAAACCTGAAATGTTCTCACTTTACCCACTGAAATTCCTATCCTAAATTTGAAGTATAGGATCCAGTACTTTTTCCCCCCATTTTGGTCTATGAAACAAGATAGAAACATTCAATAAAGTATGAAATAAAAGCCAATAATAGTATATCTAATCCATCATAAGGCTCTGATTTTCCTTCCTTCCATTACAGAAACAGAGTACATATACTTCCAATCCAAAAGTATCTCTAAACCCATTTTAGTGACAAGTATAAAATAAATGTTCAATAATCTGGTTATAAAGCAGAGCTGAAAGCACGTGAATTTTTTTAAGTTCAAATCCATTGACATCAGTCTAAAATAAAGAGGTTATGTTTATTTCAAGTCAAGAGAAAGCAAGTTTTTTGCTATTGTTTTATTTTTATTTATTTATTATACCTCTGGGCAGGGTTCCACATGACAGTCTTTTATTGAACAGTGGCCATCTTCTGCCCAGAAAGGACATGGTCGCTTCAGATTAACCTGAGAAAAAGAATAAATTATTTTTGGTGAACATGTAATATAATTACAGAATGTTTGTCAAATGTCACTTACTACCTATGACATGGTAGTGAGTAGGCAGAAAAAGCTTCCTTTTGTATGGCACCTATACAGTTCAGATTTTAAATGACTGAGTTTTTTCAGACACCCAAATGTAATATCAATTTTTGAAATAAATGGCTATTAGTCCTGTGACACTTGAACAACTTTCAAATTCACTACTCTTTTGAAGAACACCTGACAGCAATTTAGGACTACTATATAGTCTTCCAGCTTTCTTTTCAGGGTTCTCTTATGCATCCATTTTCTGAAGGAGTATGTACTGAGCATATGCAGTGTGTCAATCACTGGGCTAGGATCCAGGGAAAAAAGAAGCAGGAAAAGAACTCCCCCTGAATTTAAAATACACTGAAGGAAAGAGAAATTAAATTAGTGTATGTTTATTTAATTTCAAGTTTAGCTCAGTATTACAAAAGAAAACCCAGAGTTGTGTAACAGGCTGGTGGATGGCGGCTTCTGAGGACTCAGGTAACATTTCAGGAGAAATGAAAGCTGATGGAACAGGCATCTGAATAAGGCAATAAAGAGCTTGGATGGTTCTGGGAACTGAGAACCATTAGTTGGGCTCATGTTTAGTGGGGAACAGAAATAAGGATAGAAAGAGGCCAGCAGGTCATATAAGACAATTTAAGCATGATAAAATCTCTATGTTTTCATATTCTACACAAAACGGGAACCTGGTAATTCAATTAGACAGATGGATTGCCTATACCAAAGATCTAGATTATTTATTCATTTCCTCCCTTTATATAATTATCTACTTTTCACTACCTCCACTATCAACACTTAACTCCTAAGCTACTCTAATAGTCTCCCTGCTTCTACCACCATCTATTCCACACACCATCTATTCCATAGTTAGCTTACAAAGCAAATCATATCCCATCAATCCCAGTCAAGAATCTTTCTCTGACTTCCCATAACCCTTAAAGCAAATCCAGTCATCAGCAAGCTCCACAGGGCCCTTCCCTAAACTGGCCTCTTACTCACCTCTCTGGCATACATCTGTAATCCCAGCTACTCCAGAGGCTGAGGCAGAAGAATGGCAAATTCAAGACAATCTGGGTAACTTATAAAGATCTGATCTCAAAATATAAATTAAAGAAAGGGGTAGAGATACAGCTCAATGGTAGATTCAACCCCCAGTACCAAATAAATTGTGGGGGCATAGTAAAAATATACAGTTTATGCAAGAGATCAAATTTAAATTGTTATCATCTTAAAACAGCCTGCTCCAAAATTCTGTGTAAGCCCCATTCCTAACACAAAGCAAAACCCTTCATGGACACACAAAAGATTAAAAAATAAGTATTCAGGGAATACCACTAAGAATCATCAAACCACAAAGGCATCAAGAGAGAAAGAAAAGAACAAAGGATCTAAAAAATAACCAGAAAACAATTAACAAAATGGCAATAGTAATTCTTTTACTGATTATTATCAAGATTATTATCTTGAGTTTAAATGGATTCTCTCTAATCAAAAGACTGAGTAGGCCTGACATGGTGGCGCACACCTGTTATCCCAGCAGCTCAGAAGGAGGATCACAAGTTCAAAGCCAGCCTCAGCAATGGCAAGGCACTAAGCAATTCAGTGGGACCCTATCTCTAAATAAAATACAAAACAGGGCTGGGGATGTGGCTCAGTTGCCCTGAGTTCAATCCCTGGTACCGCAGGAAAAAGAAAAAAAAAAACCATGCTACCTACAAGAGACTTATGTCCACTCTAAGAACACAGAGACTGAAAATGAAGAGATGGAAAGATACTCTCCGTACGTGGTAACTATTAGAGGACAGGCATAGGCTTCTACCGGTCAAAATAAACTGAGTCAAAAACTATAAAAAGAGGGCTGGGGATGTGGCTCAAGCGGTAGCGTGCTTGCCTGGCATGCGTGGGGCATTGGGTTTGATCCTCAACACCACATAAAAATAAAAAATAAAGATACTGTGTCCACCTAAAAACAAAAAAAATATATAAATAATTATTTTAAAAAACTATAAAAAGAGGCAAAGAAAATCATATCATGATAAAGGGGTTAATTCATCAAGAAGTTATAAAAATTATAAATATACATGTACCAACATTAGAAAACCTAAATATATAAAGCAAATATCAATAAACCTAAAAAGAGGAACAGAATGCAATTACAATAATAGGAGACTTTTTCTAAGGCAAGTTAAAAAAAAAATAAAGAAAAAAAAGAAACACTCGATTCAACAATTACCACTTCCATCGTTAGTACAGTGACGCAAGCCATCATCTCATCTCTCCTGGATCACTGCCATTGCCTTTCTCTAGTTTCCCCTTCTTACTCCTTATTCTTTTACAATTCATTTTCAATGTTTCAGAGTGATCTATTGGCAAGTGCTTAAAATCCACCAACTCACCTCACAGTGACTGATCATCCCTTACATGATCTGGTGGCCCTGCTCTCCTCCCCTTGTTCACTGACCTTACTGTTCCTCAAATACAGGCACACTGCAATCTCAGGGATTTTGCTCTTGCCTTTGCCTAGAATGTTCTTTCTCCAAATATCCACTTAGTCTGCTTTCTTACCTCCTTTAGATTTTCCTCAAATGACACCTTCTCAGTTGGCACTACTTATAAGATACTAAATTTTGGCTCATTTATTACGCAACAAAAGCTAACTAATGAACAGTGCCAACAAGTGAACTGTGGCAGACACCGTAACACACTAGTCAGACCTCCTTCCAGGATGAAGAGCTTATAATTACCCTAGCTTCTGGAAATGTTGAAGGCAGACAATCTCAGCTGAAGAGATCCACCTTGGCAAGGCTGCATTCCACTTTCCTACAAATAAAGGTAGACTGTTGTTTCTATCTTTATTTCCTTGCTTGTTGAATTATAAATATGTGTTTAAAACTAACCTCTTAGCTTTCCTTTGTTGCCACTTATCGTATGTAGAGTACACTAGGACTGGTTAAATTTCCTTTTTATTAATTTCACAGGTAGGCAGAATTACAAGAGGAGTAGCTATCACTAACACTCTAGAATTGGTTCTAAGTGCAATAAACTAGAAGAGGGCATTACTCTCTTTTGGGCAAGAGTATGAGTATATTTTGTCTATATATCTAACAATTTCACTGCGTTGCAGGAACATTTTTTAAACCACATGGATAAAAGATGAGATTATATAGAGAGCAGCTGTTATTACAAATAGCTATTATATGTTATTATATATTGCTATTTTTGCCTATCCACCTTCCATTTTTTCCTTTTTTCTGTAACAGTCCCCTAATTTACCTTTGAGAAACAATGACTTGTCTTATATTCATGCAAATGCATTATCAACTAAGGTGTCCTTTCTTCTTTGGATGAAGGGTTCACACGAACTTACTGGAAATAATCAAGGCTCCCTCCTCCAGAAATTTTGTTACAAAAATATAGGTAAATGGGGACTGGGGTTATAGCTCAGTGGAAGAGCACTTGCCTAACACTGGGTTCGATTTTCAACACTACATATAAATAAATAAAAAACTAAAAAATAAAAAAACAGGTAAACGGTTCATTAGTGATTGCTGTAGTTTCATCTTTTCTGAAGTATATTCATTTTTGTAAATTATTCCATAGCTTTTCTGAAACTGTTTTGCTAGCCAATAAAAGTACCCTACCTAGGATACCTAAACCATTATTTCTTCATTCGAAAAATGTGGATAATATTAACATTTGAGTGTGATGATTAAATGAGATATCCACTCATTCAAATATCTGAGTATACCTACTGACAAGGCCTTGTAGAGATAAAGAAATAGAAGATGAAACCCCAAAACAGAAGGGGTGAAAGAATGGGGATTATGAGAGATGAAGTGGAGATGTGTCCTGAACTTTCTGTCTTTGACAGAAGAAATGCTTTCTCCATTGTATTAGACTGAACCATATGTAACCATTTTTCAACCATTTAGGCAACAATTTCATGTAATTTAATCTAATAGTAGGAAGGAAGCATGAGAAATTATTTCCCAACACAGATTCATAGATTCAGTGGTGGGAATTAGAAGCACTGTCTCCTTTGAATGTAAAATGCCTAGATTAAAAGACATTAAATAATTTGTCTAGGTACAGATTACTCTTTGGAATAAATTCATAGAATCTACATCCCTAAGGAATTTTGTATGAAGCAGAAATATTCATATTTTTGAACAGTCTTGGTCTTGACTAAAAAAGCAGATGGGGGAGGTATTAAATCTTTACTTTTCATCTTCCTGTACAACGTCTCTTCGCAGTTTTTTAGGTTGTACAGGAAGACAAATTAGAAGAGATGGTGTTTCTTTACCCTCAAAAATACTTACAGGATTAAGATAGTCTAACTAGAATCAGGATAGGAAGATAATCATCATGCTCAATTTTTAGAATAAACTAAAAATGAAAATCAAGTAAATTAAAAATCAAATGAATCCTGAGAGGAAGAACAAAGGTAAAGCCCCTAAAACAGTTTTTAAAATAGTTTTCTAAAATTCAAAATAATTGTTCTTAGGAATATTGACTATTGCCATATTTAAAGGCTGCTGCTATCTTAAACTAATATTAGTATTTTGTGAGGGTTTAAAGTAGAACTACTACTAGATTTCAGAACCAATTCTGCAGTATGGTGATGTTGAACTTGTGGCCTCAGCCTGGCTTGCCAGCCCTCTGACAGACTTATTCAATACACATCTTCTGCTGCCCTACTTTGCATTGCCAACAATGCCAGCACTCAGCTGTGAGGCCATCAGCACAACCCAAAGTCTAGTAGTGTGTCCAGATGGCAGGACCTACTTTAAAGGAAGGTGGACAAAGTAAGTCTCTTGCATTTTCAGCTTCTATAAAGGGAGGAATGGTGTGCCTCAAAACCAAAACTAAAAGCTCAGGAATTCCCCAGAGGAAGGAGGCTCAGATTCCCCCCCCTCAACCCCCCAACATAGGAGGAAGCTTTATTCTGCTAGACTTGGGAGATCGGCAGGCTCTCGGGAGCCTTCACTTCAGTATGCCCTCTTGGGTTTCTGCCTGTTCTCTCAATCCGCTTCAGCTCATCCTGCCTCCTCTTCTCTTCCATGGCTACCCGCTCCTTTCCTCTTTCTACCCAGAGTTTTAGGTAACTATAGCACTTGGCTCAGATTCTTAATGTTTAATAAACCCAACAAGTTTTCACTATCATACTCAATATAGTCAAATGATAAAAAACATACAGGGTGCTGAGAGGAAGCAAAATGGATTTTCCAAAGCATCATAAAATTCACATCTAGAGACAGCATTATAGAAATCTCTGTAATCAAAAGAATAAAAAATTACAACCTTACCTTATAATAACGAAAATAGTCTCGCTCTTGCAACTGTTTTATTTTGGGGAAGATTTTGTAGGTATTGAAATTGTCAATGCTGGTAATATCACATAGGCAATCGTCCAGAACTCCAACCACCTAAAATTTGCATATGTACATGAAATTTAAATATGTAAATTACTGATATTTCAACCTTTATAGATTTGCTTTATTATATAAAAGATTAATGGTCAAAATGAAAAATAAGAATTCTCAGGGCTGGGGTTATAGCTCATGGTAGAGCGCCTGCCTCACACGCATGAGGCACTGGGTTCGATCCTCAGCATCACATAAAAACAAGTAAATAAAGACATTATGTCCAACTACACTTAATAAATAAATAAATAAATAAATAAATGGGGGCGGGGAGAATTCTCCTTCCTTTACCTACACACACGTAAAATCCAAGTAGCCACTGAAATCTAAAGCAATCTCTTCCCAGACTGTCCCAGAGGTCACAGACTAGAACAACACTGCTGCATCCTCAGATCATTTTCTTTTTGTTGTTGTTGTAGAATACCTTTGTTTTTATATCATGCTAAGGATTGAACCTAGTGCCTCACACGTTAGGCAAACGTTCTTCCACTGAGCTACAGCCCAGCCCTCCTCAGGTCCTTTTTAATTTCAATACAGAGTCTCACTAAGTTACTAAGGCTGACCTAGAACTTGAGATCCTCCTGCCTCAGGCTACAGACTCATCTGATTACAGGCATGAACCATTTCCCTGGGCTCACGGTATTCTTTAATATGCCTCTTCATTTACTTTTAAAAGTATCCTATACATAAGGTACTATTATCCTCATTTTACACAAAAGGAAATTAAACTTTGGCAAACCTAATTTTTCCAAAGTAAAAATGAAACTTATCCCCAAATCCACACCAGACTTTAAAATTCATGCTCCTGTCCAGTACTCAAAGAATCCATTAAGTCAAGAAGAAAATTTAGTATTTACAAAGTGAATTCAAAATTCAAAAATTCCATAATCATTCTTTGCTAAGTTAAAAATGAGACCGACCGACTGATATGCGACTTTGATGAATCTTCCAGGAATTATCCCAAGTAAAAAAGTCAATCCCCAAAGTTTTAAAACTGTATGACTCCATTTAGGATATTATTGAAATGAAAAATTTTTAGAAATGCAGAAAAGATTTTAGTTGCCAGGCTTTAAGGACTATAGTAGAGGACAGAGTGGGAGTGGGGAGTCAGGTGAGGATGAGGTAGTATGGTTACAAAAAAAAAACAACAGGAAAGACTTCTAAAAGTGTTAAGGAAATTATTGAGTATTTTTCACTGTGGTGGTAGATTCTCATAGTTACAGGTGATAAAGTTGTACAGAACACATACAAATGAGGCAAGTAAAACTGGAGGAATCTGAATAAAGTCTACAGATTCTATTACTAACATGTCCTCCTTATGATACCAGATATGTTCACAAGCTGTTACAGGGGGATAACTGGATAAAAAGGACATGGCATTTCTGATTTTTTTTAATATTTATTTTTTTAGTTGTAGTTCAACACAATACCTTTTTCCCATTCATTTATTTTTATGTGGTGCTGAGGATTGAACCCAGGGCCCTGCGCATGCTAGGCAAGGGCTATACCGCTGAGTCACAATCCCAGCCCCTGATTATTTTTTTTAAATTGTATATGAACTTACAACTATTTTCTTTCAAATTTTCAACTGAGAACAAAAACGGGCCCCAGGCTGCTACAGGCTATTTAGTGATCCAGGAATGGAAACTAGCCCTTGCTAGTTATATCCTCCTCCGGAGGAGTGTAAAGGTGTCCCCAAACTCCCTACAACATAAAGTTAAGAGCTATATTATCTTGAGATAAAGAATAAGAGATCATTATCAAGAATCTGGTTCTGTAATTCTTTATGCTTTGTTTCATTTCATTGTTCTCACTACTTACAAGACTTAAAATTCTAGCCTGATAACAATGGGGTGAGGGAATCAAAATGCAAACCAAAATACTCTCTAGATTTTAAAGTATTTTATCTAGTAATCACTATTTCCCTTTTTAATATTTTTTAGTTGTAGATGGATACAATACATTTATTTGTCTTTATGTGTTGAGGATCAAACCCAGTGCCTCACACATGCTAAGCAAGCACTCTATCACTGAGCTACAACCCCAGCCCAGTAATCACTATTTCTTATGCATTTTTCTTGAGTTGTTCACTTTGTTCAATTTAGGAGGCTGAGGCAAGAGGATAGCTTGAGCCTAAGAGTTCAGTGGCAGTATAGGCAACCTAGTGAGACACCATATCTTTAAAAAAAAAAAAACACTGCTTTACTGTTCCCTGTAAAACAATGTATTTAAGAAGTTTCCCCATTTTTGAACTTTAATGTTAATGAAATATGTGAATTCTTCTGTAATGTACTCCTGTTGCTAATATTTTATTTTGACATCTGTCCATAATGATTTGTTTTATAGTAGTGCATTCATTTTCCCAGTTAAAAGTGTTGCATTATATGAAAATAATCACAATTTATTCATTCTATTACTGATTCACACAGTAGGCAGAATGGCCCTCCCAAAGATATCCAGGCCCTAATTTCTGCAGCTTTGCAATGTTATTTCACATTACAAAAAGGACTTTAAAGATATAATTAAGGATCTTGAGATGGGAAGACTATATAGATTATTAAGTACAACAGTTACAAAGTTCCTTGTAAAAGAAGAGTTAGAGAAGATGCTTCATTGTTGGCTTTGAAGATAGAGGAAGAAGTCACAAGCCAAAGATTACAGAAGCCTCTAGAAGACTAGATCCCCCACCACCAGCGTCTCCAGAAGGAATGCCACCTTGCTGATATCTTGATTTTTAACCCTGTAAAACCATTTTCAGATTTCTAACCCCCAAAAGTAGGAGATAATAAATTTATGTTGTTTTAAGTCACTAAGTTTGTGTTGATTTGTAGCAACAATAAGAAAATAAAACAACATACTTAGGATCTACAAATGCTATGCAAATATTTTTGTATATATATGGTGGTATACATATGCAGGAGTTTGTCCAGGTTGTAATGATTAGGAGTAGAGTGCAGTAAGTGTATTTCAGCTTTACTAGGGAAGAACGGGCTGATTTCCAAAATAGTTCTAACAATTGTTTTTAAATATTTTATTTTTTTTTTAGTTCTCGGCGCACACAACATCTTTGTTTGTGTGTGGTGCTGATGATCCAACCCGGGCCGCACGCGTGCCAGGCGAGCGCGCTGCCGCTTAAGCCACATCCCCAGACCCATTATGTCACCATCAATGGATTGGGATTAATGATGAGCTATATCCTAATATTTTATATTAATCTATTCTTTAATTTTTGCCAATCTAATATTAAAGTGTGGAATGGTATCTGGTTTATGTTTGTTTGCACTCATGAGGCACTATGTTCATGTTTTAGGAGACATTTGTATTTAATATTGTGTGCAATGTCATCTTTAGTTCACTTGTCCTTTTCATACTGACCTACTACAAGGAATCAATACAAATTTTTTCCTATTCTATTAGACCTTCTGCCTCTATCCTATTATGTCTCTGGAGTTCTCTTTAATATTTATTATCCTGTCGTCTCTTGAGATTTCCTTGTGAATAATTTATTTGCATTTACCCTCCACTTACTCATTTACTATCAAACTTTGTATCATTCTACATGCTGAGAATATGGACTTAGAAAAAAACTAAAATCTCTGCCCTTGAGGAGCTTATATTCTATAAGAGAATGGGAGAAAATAAAGGAGACCATTGTAAGACTTTAGTTTACTGAGTCTAGGGTGTTTTCTCACACCAAACAAGTCTCCAGATCTAAGAGACCAAGTATCAGAATTGAATTGTTAGATACCAACTATCCAGAATCAGTGCCAACTCTAATCAGTTAAGGCCCAAGTCCCAAAAGACTGCCCCAACTTCAAACCAATCTCAAACCCTGGGCCATTCGTTCTTCTAACTGACTGACTATAAATCTGGGTCCCAGGATCCCCTTTTTCAGGTCCAGTAATTTGTTAGAATGATTCACAGAACTCAGAAAAGCACTTTAATTACCTTTTAATCAATTTATTATGAAGGAAACAACTCAGAAACAACCAAATGGGAGAGTATTAGCAGGAGATGGTTTGAGCTTCTATGCCCTCTCCTCATCACCCTCCCAGTACCTGTTTTCATACCCCACAAGTTCATCAACTCTTAACAGCTCCAGAGTTGAATCACTTGGTCTTTCTGGTGATCATGCTCATCATGAGGCTAAATACGAGCTTCACCCTAAGTCACCTCATTAGCATAAACTCAGGTATGATTGAAAGGGACTCATTGTGAACAATATATTATCACTTAATACTTTCATCACTTAGAAAATTCCAAGCATTTTAGGAGCTCTGTGCCAGCAATCAAACAAAAACCAAATGTATAATCACAATATACCACACTGAGCGAGGCAGGAAGCTACTGGAAAGTCTTAAGCAAAGGATAAAAGTAATATGGACTATCAGCTGAGGAAAGAGGGGTTTTTCTTGTATATACTATGATCAGAGATGGGGAGATTTTAGATAAGGGGACATGTCAGATAAAGTGACACTTCAGCAGAAACTAAGATATGAAGAGATGGGTGAATTGTATGAACACAAAAGTGTTAGGTAGAACAGTACAAATACCATGAGGGAAGAAAACACTTGCATGTTGGTCAAATTATACAGTTATACTGTGCGTATAAATAATAAACAAACATACTTGCAATGTTTGAAGAACAAGCAGGCCAGGGTTGCTGGAACATGTATAAGGGGAAGGTCTTGGGAAGAGTAAATTTGAGAGGAAAAATCAGCAATTTCCTAATAATCAAGTCTTATTATTGATACTTATTAGTCACCCAAGTAGAGATGTTAAAAGAAAAGTTAGATAACACAGACATAGAATTGAGAATACTAATCTGAAGACTTAAATCTGTTAGCAATACTGATGGTATGGTGTTTAAATGCAAGAGACTAGATGAGGTGAAGAAGATAAAGAAACAGTACAAGATGTGAACTCTGAAGTTTAAATGACTGGCAGTCAAGGGCAGAGGAGGAACAAGCAAAGGATACTAAGAAAGACTGGTCCATCACACCAGAAGGACACTAGTAAAGTACTGTAAACACCACTGCACTCAGACCAGCCACAGTTATTGTATCCTGAATGTCAAAAGAAGAAAGTATGGGCTGGGTATAGGGCATGACTTGCTGCCCACTTCCCAGTCTTGGGGCCGCACATGTGGCTGGGAAGGCGCCTGGCGATCAACCAGGAGGCGGTGCTGGGTGTGGTGAGTGAAAAAACAGACCACCACCAGGATAGGTCCAGGACTCTTCTGCCCTCATGGACAGCTCGTGCCTTCCCTTACAGACCATGGGATGGGTATACACATGAACTCATTCCACCCCTCTGACTTTTATCCTGATTGGTCCCTGTGCAGTATATAAGCTGTGTGTACTTCCTCAACAAATGAGATCCTGCTTTGACTCCCTGGCGCATCAGATTGTCCTCCGGCAAGGGAGGGCTGGGTGCTGGTGGCCAGTGGACCTTTGCCTTTCTTGGCTCGTCCTGGTGGGGCATGCTTTCCCGGCTTCTCCTGCTGGTCAGGAGGAGACGGAGGTACCCTGACACTGGGGATGTGGCTCAAGTGGTAGTGCGCTCGCCTAGCATGCATGAGGCACTGGGTTCAATTCTCACCACCACATAAAAAGAAATAAAAGATATTGTGTCCACCTAAAACTAAAAAAATAAATATTAAAAAAAAAGAAGTACTCCAAGAAGTGTCAATGAGGAGCTATGAAAAATGCTGTCAAAAGGTAAAGCTGAGGTTTGAAAACTACTGGCCTTAGCAACAAGGACACTGGTAATCTTGATGAGAGCAGTTTCAGAGAGTGTTAGGGACAAAAGTCTGACTGGAATGGAACAGAGAGAAATAGGAGGAATAAAGACAATGCTTTCCAATTTTTCTTGAAAGAACAAGAAAAATGGGGCAGAAAAGAAGAGTGGATCAACAAAGAAGATGTAAACAATATTTTTGTTTTTGAGGTACTGGGGATCAAATCCAGGGCTGGGGAAGTGTTCTTCTAATGAGCTACACCCTTATCCCAATACTTGTTTTATGATGACAGTAACATTTCATTAGAGAAGTAAAAACCAATGATCCAAAAGAGAAAGGAAACACTGTTGGAACCATGTCCTTGAAGGGGAAAGATATGAGCCCTAATATATGTGGAGGAACTGGTTTTCGACAAGAACTATTCATGAATAGTTCATCCATGGTAACCAATAGGAAATCAAACCTATAGGTAAAGAGCCTTGTAAGTGGATAGATGTGAATTACTCTATGGAAGTTCTCTTCTGATTGCTCCAATTCTGTTCCGCATGAAGCCGAGAGTAAGGATGGAAGAGAAAGTGATGGAAAAAAAGACAGAAAATGGCTAATTCAATAATCATTTCTTTAAGCCAGGTAAAGTGGAGAATGCCTGTGATCTTAGCTACTCAGGAGACTGAGGCAGAAGAACTCAAGTTCAAGGACAGGCAACCTAGAAGACCCTGTCTCAACATAAAAAATAAAAAGGGCTGGGAATGTAGCTCAGTAGTAGAGCACCAATGGGTTGAATTCCTAATACTGGGAAAAAAAATCATTTCTTCAGATGGATATAATCAGTTATTTAAACCATCCATTGAAATTATATTTCTTCACCTATTATTTTTTAATCCTTTTGGTCATTCTTTAAATTTTTTATTCCATTTCTATACTTTCAAGCTTCTTTTTTTAAATTTAAACATAGTAATCAAAGATATGCAACTATCTGATAATTTCAGACCTAAGGTCATTATGTTTCTGTTTCTAATACAGATGCTCCTCAACTTACAACATGAATACATCCTGGAAATTTAAATTATCAAGTGGAAATGCCTTTGTGACACCTAACTTACAAGATATCACAGCTTAGAAACACAGTACCCTGTGTAATACAGGGGTTTACGCTCATGCTCACAAGGGAGCTATAGCCCACTGCCATTGCTCAGCATTTAAAGAGTGACAACTACCCATGAAAAGAGTACAGTTGGTGCTGAAAGAGTGTTGCTTTCATATCACCATAAAACTGAAATATCATAAAATAATTAAGGGGGACCCATTGCAGGTCAAGATCTACACCTGATTCATGGTGCCCTGTTTTCAGATTTTTAAAAAACTATTATGTTTATTCTTCCTGACACTTTATCTTCAAAAATTCTTTATGATTTGAGTTAAAATTAAATTTCTCCAGAGGGAATGGATATTTGCTTTCCCTGGTAACCTGGGGAATACAAACTTGGAACTGCTATAAATTAAATTTTCTACATGAAATTTTTCCTAGCATAAGTGGTATGAAGTAAGCCTGCAAACCTTGTAAGGGCTGGCTTACAAATTCTCAAGGAAGTATTCCCCCCTCCTCTAGCAAGTTTCTTTACTTTCCTCTTATGGCAGGATTCATTACTCATCTCTTACGTTGAGGATGTAGCTTTTTGGACTACAAGTTTAAAATGGAGTCTCTCATCAGTTTCCTCTCTTTAGGCAGACATAGGTATTATTTCTTGCCCAGTCCACCCCATAAAACTGTTATAGCAGAAGCTCCGAGGGTTTGAGAGAATCTCCAGAGTAATGTACTGGTAGAGCATAATCGGAGCCCCAAGTGGCTGGCTTTAAATTTGCCTGAGTCTTTGAAGGTTCCTTGAATTCATGCCTCCTCAGAAAGGCCTTTAGAATTTCCAATATCCCCAGTTGAAATTACTTTTTCTAGAAATACTGTTCTATCACTTACTTGTACTTATTTTTTAGCTCACCGTATTGTACTACAAAGCATAGTTACATTTTTGAAAATTTTTTTAGTTGTTAGATCATTTATTTATTTATTTATATGTGGTGCTGAGACTCGAACCCAGTGCCTCACACATGCCAGGCAAGTGAGCTACCGCTGAGCCAAAGCCCCAGCTCCTACATGTTCACATTTATA